AGTGTGTGTGTGAGTGTGAGCGTGTGTGTGTTTGAGTCTGTGTGTGCGTGTGTGTGAGTGTGTGTGAGTGTGTGTGTGAGTGTGAGCGTGTGTGTGTGTTTGAGTCTGTGTGTGTGTGTGTGAGTGTGTGTGAGTGTGTGTGAATGTGTGTGTGAGTGTGTGTGAATGTGTGTGTGTGTGTGTTTGAGTCTGTGTGTGTGCGTGTGAGTGTGTGTGTGAGTGTGAGCGTGTGTGTGTGTGTTTGAGTCTGTGTGTGCGTGTGTGTGAGTGTGTGTGAGTGTGTGTGAATGTGTGTGTGAGTGTGTGTGAATGTGTGTGTGTGAGTGTGTGTGTTTGAGTCTGTGTGTGTGCGTGTGTGTGAGTGTGTGTGTGAGTGTGTGTGAGTGTGTGTGTTTGAGTCTGTGTGTGTGCGTGTGTGTGAGTGTGTGTGTGAGTGTGTGTGTTTGAGTCTGTGTGTGTGCGTGTGTGAGTGTGTGTGAGTGTGTGTGTTAGTGTGTGTGTGCGTGTGTGTGAGTGTGTGTGTGTGTGGTGTGTGTGAGTGTGTGTGAGTGTGAGTGTGTGTGAGTGTGCGTGTGTGTGTGTGTGAATGTGTGTGTGTTTGAGTGTGTGTGCGTGTGTGTGTGAGTGTGTGTGTGTGAGTGTGTGTGTGTGTTTGAGTCTGTGTGTGTGTGCGTGTGTGTGAGTGTGTGAGTGTGAGTGTGTGTGAGTGTGTGTGTTTGAGTCTGTGTGTGTGTGCGTGTGTGTGTGAATGTGTGTGTGTTTGAGTCTGTGTGTGTGTGCGTGTGTGTGTGAGTCTGTGTGTGTGCGTGTGTGTGTGAGTGTGTGTGTGTGAGTGTGTGTGTGTCTGTGTGTGTGTGAGTGTGTGTGTGAGTGTGTGTGTGTGTGAGTGTTTGTGAGTGTGTGTGTTTGAGTCTGTGTGTGTGCGTGTGTGTGTGTGAGTGTGTGTGAGTGTGTGTGTGTTTGAGTCTGTGTGTGTGTGCGTGTGTGTGAGTGTGTGAGTGTGAGTGTGTGTGAGTGTGCGTGTGTGAGTGAGTGTGTGTGTGAGTGTGTGTGAGTGTGTGTGTTTGAGTCTGTGTGTGTGTGCGTGTGTGTGTGTGAGTGTGTGTGAATGTGTGTGTGTGTTTGAGTCTGTGTGTGTGTGCGTGTGTGTGAGTGTGAGTGTGTGTGAGTGTGTGTGAGTGTGTGTGAGTGTGTGTGTGTGTGTGTGTGTGTGAGCTCAGGGCTCCGGAGGAGCGTGGCCGGGCGGGGGAGTCGTGGAGACATGAGGGGGGTGACAAGGAGGACTCTGATTATTTCAACCTTGAAAACTCATTTCAATTACAATTTACAACCTGCAGACAAAGGCTGCAGTCGCCGTAGTAACCACGGCTGCGGGGTTTTGACGGAGAAAATCCTCCCCATGGTTCCCTGGCTGGCTGTCACCCGTGGCAGAGCCAAACGCTTCTCTGCTTCACTGTGCCCCGGGACACAATTAGGACATCTTCAAACTGTTGCTGCTGTCACTGCGCCGTGTGTGGAGTTTATCTCCTCCAGCAGCTCTCAGAAATGCATGCGCTGCTTCCTCCCACAACCTCGGTGCCCCTGCCTGGGCACAGGCGTCCTGCCCACCTGTGGGAGCGGATATCCGACCCTCCACTGCCACGTGCTTCCTCTAGACCTGCGGACGGGGGTCCTTAGCCCCTGGCAGCCCCGGCCAGACAACTGAGGGCGGCGCCTGGGCCCTAGAGGAGGAAGGAGGCGGGTCAGGGTGGTGGGGACTGTTTTGGAGCCAGAGAGATCTGGGTGCAAATCCCAGCCCCACCACTTACCAGCTAGCTCCATCGCAGGGATGCACCGAACACTGTCCTGGGACCAGGAGTCCTGGGGACTCTGGGTGTATCACCCACAGGCCCCCAAGCCTCAGTTACCTCCCACGTGAGGGGGCGGGCCACGCTGTGGGAGGGCGGGATGCCAGGGCGGGAAGGCTCGGGGAGCGAGAGCCGCGGCTGCAGGCTGTCGCCGGGAGCAGGGCGGGCGTGCGGAGAGCCGCTCCAGGCACGGCACAGCGCCAGCCCTCCTTCTGGGACACAGTGTCTTGTCTTGTCAGGCACGTGTTGGTGGTTCCTGTGATCCCCCGGGCTCCCACCCACCCCGCACTACCTGCCACCCTGCCACGGAGTGCACGTCCGCCCTGTCCTTGTTGCTGGTGCGGGGCGCAGGGGAGGGACTGAGCGCGCGTGTGTGTGGTGGGCACGCTCAGGTGCCCGCACCCCCTTCAAAGGCTGCCTCACGTACCCCACTTTTCTCACCTGTAACTGGGGCTAGGCTTTAGGCAAAGTCAAGGAGGTGAAAGTGTGTTGAGAAGTCTCTGGAAGTCTGTGTGACAACGCTGGGCGGACACCCTGGACAGGCAGCACTCCGGGGCCGCGCGGGGCCCACGGGACTCCAGGCCCTTCCTGCCGGAGCTGTCCAGGGCGGAGGCAGGTTTCCCTGGTGCCGACGCTCCGTGGGGTCCACACCAGCGTTGATCCTGGTGGCTTCGGGACCCTGTGAGAGCACGTGGTGTTGAGCCCAATTGGCCCAGGAGTGGTGGCTTCAGCTGGACCCTCGCCGGACCCTGGAGGGAGGAGAGGCTGAGGCTGGCTTGGGGGAGGTACGTTTCCACTAGAGACACAGCCAGCCTCCAGGGCCGCGGTGTGCCCTTGGCCTTGGGAGAGAGCTGCCTGCTGCCTGCAGTGCCACAGCCCAGCCCGCGTCTCTGGTTAATGACTCAGTCTCACCTCCGTGTGAGACCAGGGCGCGTGGGGGCTGCGCAGGGGTGCTCTGTGGCTCTTCAGGCAGGAGAGGACAGGGCAGGGGTGGCGGGGGCAAGGGAAGGGTCCAGGGGGGATCTTTCCAAGGGATTGCCCAGTCCCTCCGCGCCCTTTGGGGACAGGGTTGTCCCTTTCACTTCTCTCCAGGCCCTCAGAACCCTGTGAGCAGAGACAAGAAGGCAGGAAGGGGAAGCTGGAGCATTTGCCTTTCACGTTTGTGCCTTTGCCTAGAAAGAGTGTTACCTGGTAGCAAGCTGCAGACAAGGCCCAGGTCACGTGCAGTCTGGGATGGGGGGGGGTGTCTGGAAGCTGGGAGTGCCTGTCCTGTCGCCCACTGGTGTGTGACCTGGGCTTCTCTCTCTGGCCTCATTTTCTCGTCTGTAAAGTGACAGTGGGAGCAGATGGCGCCTGTGGCCCTGCCATCCCCAGCACCGAGTCCATCATTTCTAGCATCCATCCACGGCCCGTGTCTGCACTGGGCTAGGCTGAGAATGGCCAGCTGAGCGAGGGGATCAGGTGTGGAGCAGACCCCAGGGAGACACAGTCAGAGTCCCTGCCACGGGTCTGCCTCCGAGGTGCCCAAGGCAGAGGGGTGGGCACAGTGACCTCTGGAGTTCCCAGGGAATCAGGGCCCAGCGCCGACTTAGCCCGACCTGGCCCCACATGGGAGGCTCAGGCCCCTGGCCCGCAGGGCTGCAGAGGCAGGGCTGGGCACGGGGGCTTACGCGGGGTAATTTCCTTGTCCTGGCCTTGAGGAAGGAGGCTGTGGGCCGTGCTGTGTACAGGGCTGTGGCCTTGGGAGGGAAGCCGGGCTTCCCTGGCTCTGCCTGTCCTGCCCGTCCCTCCGCCTGCCACCCTCCTGTCCCTCCCCGTCTGGCGGAGTGCGGCACACAGGCTTGGGGCTGCAGGACCGGGTTGGGGTCCAGCTCTGCAAGGTCCTGGAACGTGGCTGAGCCTGTTTGAGCCTCTGGTTCTTCGTCTCTGTAATGGGGGTGAGAGCTCACTGCACGGCATTGTTGTGAGAGTTCAGTGAGTTCCTGTCCATGAGGAGCCCAGCACGTAGCAGGTGCGGGGTGGAAGTTAGCAGCCATTGTCATTTCATGTGATTTGACATCATCATTACCCGGGGCCCAGGCCAGGGCCACCTCCTCCTCCGCAAAGCCTTCCGGCCTGCTCCAGCCCAGGGCCCTCAGCAGCCACTTCGGAAGCCCCATCTGACCGCTCAGCACGTATGACACCCGGGGCAGTGCCCGGGCTCTGAGTGCGCCCGTCCCTCAGCTCCCTGGCGCCGCGCAGGAGGCAGGACCATGAGCCCCTCCTTGCTGGCCAGGACGCTGAGGCCCAGGAGCTTGCGGGGCCCAGGGCAGAGCAGCTGGGTGGGCGCAGGGGGCCTGAGATGGGAGGTCGGATCCCCAAGGCCGCAGTGCAGTCTGCAGTGAGAAGGTGGGGGGCCCCAGGGCAGAGCGGCTGGGTGGGCGCAGGGGGCCTGAGATGGGAGGTCGGATCCCCAAGGCCGCAGTGCAGTCTGCAGTGAGAAGGTGGGGGGGGCGCCTCCAGTTTGCGAAGTTCACTCTGGCTCTTTTGGGGGTGTCACTGGCTGGGGAGGAATGGCTGGGGGTGGTGGTGACTTCCGGTGTCTGGGATGACTGGAAACCACTGAAGGCACAGGAGAACAACCTTTCAAGCTTTCGGGCCTGTCTCCCTAGCAGTGCCGTGGGGTGAGAGCAGCTCACTCTGCTGGGGCGGCTGTGCGTGGTGGGCTGCCTTGGGGGCACCACTGTCCTCAGGGACAGACACAGCCCCGTCCTGGCCATTTCTCAGCCCACAAGGGGCAGCTGCCCCCACAATGCCCCCAGGCCAGGCTGAGGGGTAGGCAGCCGGTGCCGCCACCACAGGGAGACCCTCCGGACAACTGCCCTTCAGCGTGATGGTGGCAGGAGGCCCACCCTGGCTGTTCTGGGCCTCGGGGGCACGTGTCAGCGGTGCAGTGAGGAGGCCAGTGGGCCCTTCCCTCACCCCTCGGGCCTGTCCCCGGGGTCCTCCGCAGGACCATCTCCTGGGGGCAGGAGCGGGACTGGCTGGGCATCAGGAGGGCCGGCGTGCACCGCTGCACCGTGCCACCTCTCCGGGCGCCAGGGGCGCTGTTGCTCCCACCACACTGCTGTGAGCTGGTGGCTTCACGGGCGCCCTGCCCCGTGTTCCTTGCAGACCGTGAGCGCATCGGGCAGGACTCTGCGTACGAGCAGGAGGGGAAGGTGCAGTTCGTGATTGACGCCGTGTACGCCATGGGCCATGCGCTGCACGCCATGCACCGTGACCTGTGTCCCGGCCGCGTGGGGCTCTGCCCGCGCATGGACCCCGTCGATGGCACTCAGCTGCTGAAGTACATCCGGAGCGTCAACTTCTCAGGTGGGCGTGGTGTGGGCGCTGCCAAACCCCAGTGTGCAGTGCGGTGGGCACCGGGCGAGGGGCCGGGGCTCCGAGGGGAGGGGGCGGGAGGGTCTCCTGCTGAGGGCGACCCTCCAGGGACAGTCCAGGGAGGGCTCCCCAGAGCTCCTGCCCCCCTGGTCCCGGCTCTGCAAACACACCCGCCCGCCCCACAGGCATCGCAGGGAACCCCGTGACCTTCAACGAGAATGGAGACGCGCCCGGGCGCTACGACATCTACCAGTACCAGCTGCGCAACGGCTCCTCGGAGTACAGGGTCATCGGCTCCTGGACCGACCACCTGTACCTTAGAGTAAGCAGAGGGCGGGGAGGGCCCCAGCGGCCCGGAGAGAGTCGCCCCACTGTCCCAGCTCCCACTGTCCTAACCCCTGGGGCAGGGCAGGGCCAAAGGGCGGCAGCCGCTGGCTAGCTCTGGCCGCTAGGATCGCTGGCGCCAGGCTGGGCTTTCTGCCCAGGGCCCCCACCCCAAAGGGAAGACAGGGCAGCCGGATTTTGCCCGCCTGGCCGCTGCCCCTCGCTCGGCCTGGGCCATCCTGTCTGCCGCCCACTGGCAGAGCGCTGGGGCCACACTGGGCAGAAGAGCTCTCACCGAGTGACCTGGCTCAAAGGCCTGGCGCGGTGGGAAGACGGGGAGGCAGAGCGCAGGGTGTTGGGGTGGCAGGCGCAGGCCCGGTGGCATTGCTGGCCCTGGCCCCGGCCGCACCACGGCGCACTAGAAGGGAGTCCTTTCCCGGGCCCTCCCGGCCGTGCGTTCCTAGCTCACAGAACATCCCAGGGACATGGAGACTTCCCTCTCGGCCTCAGTGTCCCCAGGTGTAAATAGAGCAGTGTTTTGGAAGGGAAGGACCTGTGGTTGTGCCCCAAGGAAATGCTTGTGGACGTGGTCTCCACCTTACAAGGCTGAGGGGGAGCTGCGCTCAGTGAGGGCTCAGAGTGACACCGTGGAGGGACAGAGGGACTTGGGGCCCAGGTCCTAGTCTGGCCTCAGCCATCCTTGTTCTGGGACCTGGAAGACTTGCAGGGTGTCCCCGCTGTCTCCTCTTGGAACAGCCTCTTCCAGCTAGGCCCCTCAGGCTCGCGCTCCACTGCGCCTTCCACCCATGATCTCATTCAGCCCCAGAACCTTCAAATCAGAGGAGATATTTCAGGAAACCGCCCTGGGGAGACCGAGGCCCTCCCCTAAGCCCCCTCGTGGCAGGAGCAGAGCCGATCCCTGTGACGAGGCTGCTCGCATTGCAGAGCGGAGGGACGGACAGGGCGGGGGGGCCCTGGGCAAAGGGACGGGGCCCAGGCAGCGGGGCGAGTCTCGGTCGGTGCTTGGGCAGAGTGGCAGCAGCTGGTGCTTACTGAGCCTGCTGCGCCCCAGCTGCTGCTCCAGCATGTCACTTTGCTGAGGGGATGGCTCCCTGAGGTAGGCACTGTTATCCCATTTTACAGATGTCCCAACCGAAGGTGGCAGGGCCTGGGTGTGTGTGGGTGGCAGTGGGATCCTCCCTGAAGGTCCCTTCCCCAGGAGTACAGGGCCGCTCTACCCAGCCAGACCGTCTTCGTGGCCCATCCTCATCCTCCGTTACCCTCTCGTCTGTCAGGCCCGGGCAGAGCAGGGGCGGTGGCGGGAGGTGAGGTGGCGCTGGACTTTAACCATCACTCCTGCCCTGCTTTCTCCCTGAGTGGCTTGGTTTGGGTGGCAGGCAAAGCACCTACCTGGCCACTGTCCGCTGTGAGGCGGCCTCATCCCTGATGCCCTGGGCCTCATTGCCGGGGCCCGCTTAATTCTTTCATAGCTTCCACTGAGAGTTGCGGGGCCTCCCGCATGTGCCAGCCCCGAGCTGGGGCTGGAGCCTCAGCAGGGAAACAGACACAGCCCACCCCGCGTGCGGCTGATGCTCTACTGCACGTAAAAAGTCTTTCCATTAGGCCTCTAAGTGGTCACTAAGTGGAAGTGACCCAGAGTAACAAAGGGTAGCATGGGTTCCTGTCTGCTTTCATTGCTTCAGATGAGAAAATAAAGGATCAGAGAGGTCAAGCATTTGCTCAAGGCACACAGCCAGCTAGCAGCAGAACTGTGATCTCAGGACGGGACTGCATTCACTACTCTCTCCACCGGAACCACAAATCTTTACAAAACACTCGCCATCATCCTGTGTCCCCTGGGAAAGGTCTTTCCCCCGCACCCCCACAGCTCCAGTGCACGGGGACTGTCCTGTCCGGCCACCCCGCACCCCCACAGCTCCAGTGCACAGGACTGTCCTGCCCGGCCACCCACACCCCCACAGCTCCAGTGCGCAGGGACTGTCCTGCCTGGCCACCCCGCACCCTCACAGCTCCAGTGCGCAGGGACTGTCCTGCCCCCGCACCCTCACAGCTCCAGTGCACAGGGACTGTCCTGCCCGGCCACCCCGCACCCCCACAGCTCCAGTGCGCAGGGACTCTCCTGCCCGGCCACCCACACCCCCACAGCTCCAGTGCACAGGGACTGTCCTGCCCGGCCACCCCGCACCCCCACAGCTCCAGTACACAGGGACTGTCCTGCCCGGCCACCCGCACCCTCACAGCTCCAGTGCACAGGACTGTCCTGCCCGGCCACCCTGCACCCTCACAGCTCCAGTACACAGGGACTGTCCTGCCCGGCCACCCTGCACCCCCACAGCTCCAGTGCACAGGGACTGTCCTGCCCGGCCACCCCGCACCCCCACAGCTCCAGTACACAGGGACTGTCCTGCCCGGCCACCCCACACCCTCACAGCTCCAGTGCACAGGGACTGTCCTGCCCGGCCACCCCGCACCCCCACAGCTCCAGTGCACAGGGACTGTCCTGCCCGGCCACCCGCACCCTCACAGCTCCAGTGCACAGGGACTGTCCTGCCCGGCCACCCGCACCCCCACAGCTCCAGTGCGCAGGGACTGTCCTGCCTGGCCACCCCGCACCCTCACAGCTCCAGTGCACAGGGACTGTCCTGCCCGGCCACCCCGCACCCCCACAGCTCCAGTGCACAGGGACTGTCCTGCCCGGCCACCCCGCACCCTCACAGCTCCAGTGCGCAGGGACTGTCCTGCCCGGCCACCCGCACCCTCACAGCTCCAGTACACAGGGACTGTCCTGCCCGGCCACCCCGCACCCCCACAGCTCCAGTGCACAGGACTGTCCTGCCCGGCCACCCGCACCCCCACAGCTCCAGTGCGCAGGGACTGTCCTGCCTGGCCACCCCACACCCTCACAGCTCCAGTGCACAGGGACTGTCCTGCCCGGCCACCCCACACCCTCACAGCTCCAGTGCACAGGGACTGTCCTGCCCGGCCACCCCGCACCCCCACAGCTCCAGTGCACAGGGACTGTCCTGCCTGGCCACCCACACCCCCACAGCTCCAGTGCACAGGGACTGTCCTGCCCGGCCACCCTGCCCCCCCACAGCTCCAGTGCACAGGGACTGTCCTGCCCGGCCACCCGCACCCTCACAGCTCCAGTGCACAGGGACTGTCCTGTCCGGCCACCCCGCACCCTCACAGCTCCAGTGCACAGGGACTGTCCTGCCCGGCCACCCGCACCCCCACAGCTCCAGTGCACAGGGACTGTCCTGCCCGGCCACCCCGCACCCTCACAGCTCCAGTGCACAGGGACTCTCCTGCCCGGCCACCCCGCACCCTCACAGCTCCAGTGCACAGGGACTCTCCTGCCCGGCCACCCGCACCCTCACAGCTCCAGTGCGCAGGGACTGTCCTGCCCGGCCACCCCGCACCCTCACAGCTCCAGTGCACAGGGACTGTCCTGCCCGGCCACCCCGCACCCTCACAGCTCCAGTGCACAGGGACTGTCCTGTCCGGCCACCCCGCACCCCCACAGCTCCAGTGCACAGGGACTGTCCTGCCCGGCCACCCCGCACCCTCACAGCTCCAGTGCACAGGGACTGTCCTGCCCGGCCACCCCACACCCTCACAGCTCCAGTGCACAGGACTGTCCTGCCCGGCCACCCCACACCCTCACAGCTCCAGTGCACAGGGACTGTCCTGCCTGGCCACCCCGCACCCCCACAGCTCCAGTGCACAGGGACTGTCCTGCCCGGCCACCCGCACCCTCACAGCTCCAGTGCACAGGGACTGTCCTGCCCGGCCACCCGCACCCTCACAGCTCCAGTGCACAGGGACTGTCCTGTCCAGCCACCCCGCACCCCCACAGCTCCAGTGCACAGGGACTGTCCTGCCCGGCCACCCGCACCCTCACAGCTCCAGTGCACAGGGACTGTCCTGCCCGGCCACCCCGCACCCTCACAGCTCCAGTGCACAGGGACTGTCCTGTCCGACCACCCCGCACCCCCACAGCTCCAGTGCACAGGGACTGTCCTGCCCGGCCACCCGCACCCCCACAGCTCCAGTGCGCAGGGACTGTCCTGCCAGGCCACCCACACCCTCACAGCTCCAGTGCACAGGACTGTCCTGCCCGGCCACCCCGCACCCTCACAGCTCCAGTGCGCAGGGACTGTCCTGTCCGGCCACCCGCACCCCCACAGCTCCAGTGCGCAGGGACTGTCCTGTCCGGCCACCCGCACCCCCACAGCTCCAGTGCGCAGGGACTGTCCTGCCAGGCCACCCACACCCCCACAGCTCCAGTGCACAGGGACTGTCCTGCCCGGCCACCCGCACCCTCACAGCTCCAGTGCACAGGCCACCCGCACCCTCACAGCTCCAGTGCGCAGGGACTCTCCTGCCCGGCCACCCCGCACCCTCACAGCTCCAGTGCACAGGGACTGTCCTGCCCGACCACCCGCACCCTCACAGCTCCAGTGCACAGGGACTGTCCTGCCCGGCCACCCCACACCCTCACAGCTCCAGTGCACAGGACTGTCCTGCCCGGCCACCCCACACCCTCACAGCTCCAGTGCACAGGGACTGTCCTGCCCGGCCACCCCGCACCCCCACAGCTCCAGTGCACAGGGACTGTCCTGCCTGGCCACCCCGCACCCTCACAGCTCCAGTGCACAGGGACTGTCCTGCCCGGCCACCCCGCACCCCCACAGCTCCAGTGCACAGGACTGTCCTGCCCGGCCACCCCGCACCCCCACAGCTCCAGTGCGCAGGGACTGTCCTGCCCGGCCACCCCGCACCCCCACAGCTCCAGTGCGCAGGGACTGTCCTGCCCGGCCACCCCACACCTGTCCTGCCCCCCCCACAGCTCCAGTGCACAGGGACTGTCCTGCCCGGCCACCCCGCACCCCCACAGCTCCAGTGCACAGGGACTGTCCTGCCCGGCCACCCCGCACCCTCACAGCTCCAGTGCGCAGGGACTGTCCTGCCCGGCCACCCGCACCCTCACAGCTCCAGTACACAGGGACTGTCCTGCCCGGCCACCCGCACCCTCACAGTTCCAGTGCACAGGGACTGTCCTGCCCGGCCACCCGCACCCTCACAGCTCCAGTGCACAGGGACTGTCCTGCCCGGCCACCCCGCACCCCCACAGCTCCAGTGCACAGGGACTGTCCTGCCGGCCACCCGCACCCTCACAGCTCCAGTGCACAGGGACTGTCCTGTCCAGCCACCTCGCACCCCCACAGCTCCATGGCGCAGGGACTGACCTACCCAGCCACCCCGCAGAAGGGCTACACTTGACAAGCCCTTTGGCTTCTAAGGCAATATACACCCTGTCTTCCCAGAACCGCAGGACAACCTTCTTCCTTGTGGTTTCCCTCCCACTTTGCCAGGAGGCTTCTTTGGATTCTCTTCCCACACCACCGTCCCTTTTTTCAGCCCTGAAACCCTCCCCACGGCCTCCAACCCGCTGGTCATACTCTCTCAGGAGGGAGCACCTAGCAAGGACGGGGGCCAGGCTGGCCGGGCTCGCTGCTCTGACTGAGCCTTTCCTAAGAGCCACTTTATTTAGAGCAGTGCTTTGATCCAGCTCCCAGGGGTAGCAGAGCTCCCTTTCCCCAGGGCCTGCAGCTCTGTTGGGCCTTTCGCTTACTTTCCAGAATATTGTAACATATTCAGTAGGGCGTGACAACACTCCTGTGGCTCCTTTGCTCACAGCCTGTGTCTTCAGAGACATGTAACTGTGAGTAGCACTAATTTAGAGCAAGTTGTAAAGAAATGCTAACCCCTGAGCACACATTAAGGGTCCTCTGATTAAATCCTTGTTCATTCTCTCTGCTGACCCCAACTCCCTGGGCCGCTCGGAGCACTGGGGGCTGAGCCACGGGGCAGTGCATCTCCCACTCCAGTGTGCACATGAATCGCCTGGGGGGTCTCTATGGAAACCCAGATTCTGTATGCGTAGGTCTGGGGTGGGGCTGAAATGTGCATTTCCAACAAGCACCTAGGCGCTGCCGCTGCTGCTCAGGACCACTGTGAGCAGCGAGGCCGTGGGGGCTGGGAGCCAGGGCTCCTGAGTTCTCTTTGCTCTGCCGCTGATGCTCCATCACTCCGAGTTGCCACTGCTGCTTTCTGGGCTCAGTTTTTCCATATGAGGCTTGAGCGTTTGGGGTCCCATCAGGTTTCCCCGTAGGTCAGTAGTGTGTGAGTTCTACAGGAGAGCTTGTTGCTGTCCAGCCGTCATGTTTCGCAAGTCCTGGCAGAGTCTGGGCAGCTGGACTTTTAGCCAACTGACTGGATAATTCAGGTGCGGGGCTGCAGGGCGTCACCCAGGGGCGGCCCGGGGCGCTGGGGCAGGTCCTGAGGCCTACTGCACGGTGCTGTCGTTGCCAGATGGAGCGGATGCACTGGCCGGGCAGCGGGCAGCAGCTGCCCCGCTCCATCTGCAGCCTGCCCTGCCAGCCGGGCGAGCGGAAGAAGACAGTGAAGGGCATGCCCTGCTGCTGGCACTGCGAGCCCTGCACGGGGTACCAGTACCAGGTGGACCGCTACACCTGTAAGACGTGTCCCTACGACATGCGGCCCACGGAGAACCGCACGGGCTGCCAGCCCATCCCCATCGTCAAGCTCGAGTGGGGCTCGCCCTGGGCCGTGCTGCCCCTCTTCCTGGCTGTGGTGGGCATTGCCGCCACGCTGTTTGTGGTGGTCACCTTTGTGCGCTACAATGACACGCCCATCGTCAAGGCTTCTGGCCGCGAGCTGAGCTACGTCCTGCTGGCGGGCATCTTCCTGTGCTACGCCACCACGTTCCTCATGATTGCTGAGCCCGACCTGGGCACCTGCTCGCTGCGCCGCATCTTCCTGGGGCTGGGCATGAGCGTCAGCTACGCCGCCCTGCTCACCAAGACCAACCGCATCTACCGCATCTTCGAGCAGGGCAAGCGCTCGGTCAGCGCCCCGCGCTTCATCAGCCCCGCCTCGCAGCTGGCCATCACCTTCAGCCTCATCTCCCTGCAGCTGCTGGGCATCTGCGTGTGGTTTGTGCTGGACCCCTCCCACTCGGTGGTGGACTTCCAGGACCAGCGGACGCTCGACCCCCGCTTCGCCAGGGGTGTGCTCAAGTGCGACATCTCCGACCTGTCGCTCATCTGCCTGCTGGGCTACAGCATGCTGCTCATGGTCACGTGCACCGTGTACGCCATCAAGACCCGCGGCGTGCCCGAGACCTTCAACGAGGCCAAGCCCATCGGCTTCACCATGTACACCACCTGCATCGTCTGGCTGGCCTTCATCCCCATCTTCTTTGGCACCTCGCAGTCTGCGGACAAGGTGAGCGGCAGGGCCGGCGGACGGTGGGGCATGCTCCGGAAGTGCCTGCCTTCAGGCCGCGCTGCCTTCTCTCCTGGTCGCTGCAAGGTTTTCTCCCCTCTCCCTCTCTCTGTTCCTGCCCTCTCCTCTTTTCCCTCTCTCTGCCTCATCCTCTCCTTTGGCCTGTCCTTCCTTCTCCCTGCCCCTGCCCTCCTCCTCTCCTCTCCTGTCCCCTTCTCTCCCTATCTCTCCATCCCTGCCTCCCCACCATCCCGCCTCCCTCCCACCTCCTCCTCCTCCCCACCCCCTTCCCATCAGCCTGGGATGCTGCACCCTCTGACTCCTTTCTTTTCAGACTCCTTTCCTGCACCTCTCTCCCTACGCAGTCTTCCTTCCAGTCTGCTCCGCTCTGCTCCCTCCCCCACGGCCCCTGCCCCTTGCAGGAGCCCCGTGGTCCCTGAGGAGTGGGACATACTGGGTGCACCCACCCTCTCTCCCATCCCCAGTTGCCACAGGAGCTGGGTCCTGGCCGTGCCAGCGGTGGCCCTTCCCTCCCTTGGCTGGGGCCTCTGTGTCGCGTGGCCCGACCTGAGGACCTGGTGCACCCCAAGGGAACATTGGGCTCTGCCAACATCCCAGCCCTTCACTGGCTGAGTGCCTTGAGGGACTGGGAGTCACTGAAACCAGGGGCATTGTGGTGGACCAAGAGCCCCAGGTCCAGGCCCAAGCTCTGTGTGTCACTCTGGGATCTGGCCCGCTGGCCTGTCCTGCCTCAGTTTCTTCCTCAGTAAACTGGGGCCGTGACCCTTGCCCTGCAGACCTTCAGGTTTGCAGCAACCACGTGACACAGCGGGTGTGCAAGCAGTTGCCACACTGTAAGGACGGTGGGGCTGACAAAGCCCGAGGAGGGGGGTGGGCACGAGTCAGAGAGGTGACAGGTGACTGGGGAGGCTGCGGGAAGGACTTTGGCTTTGACTGTGACTGTGAGTGAGAAGACAGCCACTGTGCCTCTGAGCAGCAGAGGGCCAGATCTGATGGGGGCTGGAAAGGACCCTGGCTGCCAGGCGCAGGCAGCTGTCAGAGGCCGCTGTCGTGGTCTGGGCGGAGGGTGCAGGCAGCAGGTGCGGTGCGCAGTGGGCAGTCTGGGCGCGTCTGGAGGCAGGCCGCAGGGTTGCTGACGGGGTGCACTCGGGGTGAGACACGGGAGAGAGTCAGGGGAAGCCAGGGGTCTGTTCTGGGCGGTCGGGAATGAAGGGGGAGAAGGCAACAAGGGGAGCCTGCATGAGGGCAGGGGATGGGGGTCCTTTGGATGCGCTAAGTTCGGGGTGCCCATTGGACATCCAAATGCGGCTGTTGAGTCAGTGGCTGGATATAGGGATCTGGAGTTCGGGGGCATGTTCTGGGTTGGAGACGTAACTAGGGAGCCATCAGCCTGAGCCTGGCATTTAAAGCCATGAGCCCAGGTCCAAGTTCCTAGGGATGCTTGGTGTTCAGTGAGACGGCCACCAAAGCTGCCACGGATGGGTGGTGCTTGTCATGTGTCAGATGCTTTGCCTAACAGCCACCAGGGCCATGGCAGCTTGCAAGGGTAGGCCTCATCATGCCTACTTGCAGACGAGGTACTGGAGCACAGAGAGGGCAAGTGACTTGCCTAAGGTCACACAGCCGAGGGCGGCACAGCTGGACTTGACTCTGCTCTAATCAGGAGCCCCATCTCCAGCCCACACCATCCCGTAGCTCTGGGCCACCTCACCCACCCTGGGACTTTCTCGGTGGAGCCCACCGCTTTTCTCACAGCTCCTCGAGGGCAGGAGCTGTGTCCTCCACTCGGAATCCCAGGGAGGCCTGTGGCCGTTTTCCAGCGGTGGCCGTGTGGGCTGGAGGGTTCTAGGATGCAGACCTTGGGGCTGCCAGTGAGCGGCTGAGATCTGAGGCTGGGCCTGGGCTCAGCAGGGGCACACCGCCCCGCATGCCGGGGCCCAGCGGAAGCCGCGGGGAGCTGGGCTGGGGCCCCACCAGGCCTGCGGGAGGCTTCCCGCTGAGCACAGGTTCAGGTAGAGGCCTTCAGTGCCCACGGGCCTGGAGCCAGCAGGGAGGGCACTCCACACCCCGGGGAGCTGACAGCTAAGAAATCACCTTGGTCATTCCAGGGGCCCCTTCGCATGCGCCCATGCTCCCTCGGGGAGGAAAGGCAGCGCTGGGGCCGCCGCGGTGGGCGCAGCCCCCTCCGCCTTGCCATGGTTCCCTCTGCCTGCCTGCCTGCACCAGCCCAAGGTGCCGGACCCCCACCTCCACATACGGGGGTCCAGCCCCTCTCACCCTCTCACCCTCCAGGCCCTCCAGGTGACCCCACCTGCCTCTGATTTCTCCCGTTGTAGAAGGTTCCCCAGCCCTGATCATGAAAGGAGCCTCTCACGTGACCTCCCCAGAGCCCCGGGGAGGGGCAGGGGCTTGCCCCTGGTCACACAACAGGCTGGCCTCGCCCCAATTTGTGGCCATACAGCCTGGCTCTGCCCCTTGTGGCTAGGACATGGGACATGCCCTTCTCCCTTTGTGGGCCTCTTCATGGGGACAGGGTGGAGGGACGAGCTGTGAAGTCCCTGTGGACGGACGGCCTCCCCACGCATCTTAGAGGCTTGGGTGACCCCGGGGGCTATGTCCGGGCCATGTCTTGCCAGAGCTGCAAAACGCCCCAGTGTGAGCTGCAGACCTGGCTGCCAGGTGTGTGTGTGTGTAGATGGAGTGGGTGTGGCTGTTGTCAGGAGCTGTGGTGTGGGTATAGGAGTGCGTGTGTGCCTTTTTGTGCATGTAGGTGTCTAGCAGGGCGTGGGCGCATACGCCTGTGTGCATGCCGATTGGATGGGGATGGGCCGATGTGTGTGCCGAGTGGTATGTGGCTGCTGCTGTGCGTCTGGGTGTGCAGATCACGTGTACCCAGGAGTGTTTGTGCGCACAGGTGTGCAGCTGTCTGAGTGCAGGTGTGAGTGTGTGCAGGTGGATGTGTGTAGGTATCTGTGAATACATCTGTGTCTGTGTGTGTGTACCCAGGTGTGTGTGTGTGAGCCCAGGTGTGTCTGGGCCAGGTACAGGTGTGTAGCCGTGAACTCAGGTGTGTGTGCAGTGCACATATGCGTGCATATATAGGCGTGCCCAGGTGTGTGCGCACACACTTGCACATGCTCAGCTGCGCCCGGTCCCCCAGGGTGCAGGCGCTGGCACAGAGTGAAGCTGTCTGTGCGCTCTGGTGAGCAGGCGATGGATTTCTCGGCTTTAGCCTGGATTTCCAGGGCTTAGCACCGCAGCCATGTGGAATTGCCCTGAGCTACCGGGGCGGCTTTCTCCACTATGTGGGGTTCCTGCTAGCCAGGCCTGGGCAGGACGTGGCTGTGGAGGTGGGCCAGGGTGTGTGAAGTTCGTTTGTCTGGTTTGTACAGATTCTGGGGCTCTTGGTACCCACCAGGGTTGGCCGGGGCAGAAGGCCAGAGCAGGAGCCCAGAGCAGGCAGAGCTCCCCAGCTCCCGCCAGGCCCTTGCACCCTGCACTCACCAGGCCTCGCACCATAACAGGAAATTCACCACCCACACCCCTGGCTACTCCTTTCCATGCCCTTTGCCCCACCCTATGTGAGCCCTTCCCCTCCCCCCCCACCAAACCAGCTTGGACTACCTCCTGGGAGGGAGTGTAGCAAGGGCCATCTTCAAGGCACCAGCGGCTGGGAGCTGGGTGGCTGGGAGAAGAGGGGAGGGAGGGGACCACAGCCGGAGGCTGCCTCTCACTCTGCCTGCCTGTGAGCCCTTGGGGTGCCGGTTCCATCCCTGCACACGCACCTTCCTTCACACAGGGCTCTAGAAACGAGGTCTGAGACAGAGGCAGGCAGTGGTGGGGTGCGAATTTCAGACCCTGGGGCAAGGGGAGGAACTGGGGTGGCAGCCCCACTTCTGCAGTGCACAGGGCCTACCTCCCAGCTGGGGGTGGTGGTGGCGGCCTAGAGGAGCCCCCATTGCCCATGCTGGGAGGGAGGGGACCCAGCAAATTGGGGGAGGGCAGCTTTGCTCAAGTTTGATCTGCTTACGCCCCTCCCTATATTTTGTTTGCAGAAAGTCTCCTAGGCTGAAAAACAAAACAGACTATGACTGTGTCAGTGACTGTGCTCACGCCTCTGCTCAGTGTTGGCTCGATAATTTTCAGGGCCCGGTGCAAAATGAAAAGGAAGAGCTCTTTGTTCAAAAATTATTCAGAGTTCAAGCCAGCAGCAGCAGGGCATTAAACCAAGCACGGGCCCTTCCGGGCACAGGCCCCTGTGTGACTGCACAGGCTGCACGCCCAGAAGCTGCTCCGCCTGTGTTAATGGAGGGACCCCTGCCGCCCAGAGAGGGGAGGAAACTTGCACAGCATCCCACACAGGCCAGGGCAGAGTAGGTCTAGCGCCCAGGCTCTTGGCTCCCAACACAAGGCCGTGTCCACTGCAGGGCTCACTGTGGTCCCGCCAACTCCATGCGGGCCCCGTTGCGCACTACCCCATCAGCAAGGGGGCAAAGCATCTAAGGTAGGCGTCTGACCTGGAACACAGCCCCTGTACCCAAGGTCCCCAGTGTGGAAGGAGAGACAGCCCCCACCCGCAGGGCACCCTCATGCTAATGAGGGAGACACATCTTGTCCCAGGGACTCCAGTCCAACGGTAAAGACCCAGATGACACTTATTCCCCATTAGCCCAGGACTCCAGTGTGTTCTACAAGGGTCTGTTCTGATGCTCTGCTGCCTGTCCCTCCCCTCCTCACTCTGGCCACTGGCCCATCTCAGGGCGGGGGAGATGGCCACACGCTCCCTGTGGCTTGTCATGACCTTTCTGCCGACAGAGCAGCTCTGTGCCCGTGGGTGAGAGAGTGGGTGTGTGCGAGGGCTGGAGAGTGTCTGTCTGTGTCTGGGGGGTGTGTCCTTGCTGGAGGACAGAACCTGTGACATTTCCTGGACGCTGGCAAATGGGGCCACCTCTCCATGCTCCCAGACTCCTTGCCCACGGAGCCCTGCTTGATCTGGGCCGCACCAGCCTGGAGGCTGGGCTCACAGGAGTGCCAGCTCCTTGGCTTGGGAACATCTTGGCCATGTGGCTGTGCCCCGTGTGTGTTCTCAGTTTTAGCCCAGCACCTGCAAACACTAAAGCAAGTTTCATGTGGCTTCCCAGTCTGTGCGTGGGGCACCCTCATGGTTTGGGTGAGGTAGGTGCTGTCATCGCATTGCACTGATGAAAAAACCTGAGGCCTACAGAGGGGCAGGACTCTCCTTTTAGACCCTATTCCTTTCCAGGCCCTCTGCCAAAGGTAGGAAACCCAGGGAAGGGTGGCTAGAGATGAAGGCCTTCAAATCCAGGGTCATGAGGCATTTAAGGAGAGGCTGGTGGGAGATGGGAGGAATATGAGGACAGGCCCCTGTCCTCAGGTTACTATTACACCAGATGAGGCCAGGGCCCCTTGCACTCAGCAGGCAAGCCCAGACCTGTGTGCCACACTGCCGGGCTGGGTGTAAGAAATGAAGGGTGTCATGAGGGTCTGAGGGAGCTGGAGATCAGGGGAGGCTTCCTGGACGAGGAAGCGTATCAGCCATGCCCTGGGGGAGGGTCTAGGCCCAGAAACGGCACACTGGGGGCAGAGTACTTCCTGCCTCCCTCAAGCCCAGACCTGGGAGACAGCTAGTGTCTGCCCTGGCCACACCTTGGCTGAGGGAGCCAGAGGCACAGCTGATGCCTGGAGGGTCGGAAGGAGGGAGGAGGTGGGGAGGGGAGTCCCAGGTGGGGCAGTGGGAGTTGTCGGTCCTGCCCCGAAGGCCCCTATAGAAGAATGGATTACCAACAACCAGATTAATGGGCTTTCATTTCGCTACACATCTGTCACTGTTAGTGCTGGTGAGCGAGCATGAAATGAGCTTTGCCTGCACTGCCACTGCCGTGTCTCGATGGGTGCTGTGGCTCCTGTGCCAGCCATCCCCTCTGCATGGGGGGCCGTGGGGGGCTGTCGCCGAACGGGGGCCTGCTTCGGGGGGCTGTGGCACGGCCACCGGGAGCTACTCCGAGGCACCAGCAGATGCTCATCTCGCCATGAGCTCTGAGAAGGGCCTGCTGGGGCCCCGAGAGCCCTCCTCAGGAGCGCCTCCCCCACATAGCCTGTAAGGCCACTCACAACTGCCCTAGGAGGTAAGTGCTGTAATTATCCTGCCCATACTGTAAGTGAGGACACTGAGGCACAAGGTGTGACGAGCTGGGAGTTGTGGAGCTGATATTTGAACAGAAATTCTGTTCTAAAGTTCAGCTCCACACCACAACTGCCTTCAGCCTGAAGCCTGTGGGACGCAGGGTGGGGTCCCAGGTCTGCCCCTGCCACGCCTGTCCCTGGGCGGGAAATGGAGGAGTCAGGGCGGAGGCTGGCGAGCGGGCTCTGACGCTGCCCCGCCTCCCCCAGCTGTACATCCAGACCACGACGCTGACCGTGTCGGTGAGTCTCAGCGCCTCGGTGTCCCTGGGAATGCTCTACATGCCCAAGGTCTACATCATCCTCTTCCACCCGGAGCAGAACGTGCCCAAGCGCAAGCGCAGCCTCAAAGCCGTTGTCACCGCGGCCACCATGTCCAACAAGTTCACACAGAAGGGCAGCTTCCGGCCCAATGGCGAGGCCAAATCCGAGCTCTGCGAGAACCTGGAGGCCCCAGGTGAGCGCCTGGCCCCGCCCCTCTTCCCCTGGGCTGCCCAGGCCCCGCCCCTCTTCCTCTGGGCTGCCCAGGCCCCGCCCCTCTTCCTCTGGGCTGCCCAGGCCCCGCCCCTCTTCCTCTGGGCTGCCCAGGCCCCGCCCCTCTTCCTCTGGGCTGCCCAGGCCCCGCCCCTGCTCCCGCCCCGCCCACGCCCCTTCCCCAGCCTGGTCCTCTAGGGGGACTCTGGGAGAAGCCCAGGGCGGCAGCTGAGCGGCCAGCCTTGGGGGGGGTATATCTCAGGGAGAGTCTTGAGGCACCAGGTTGGAGCCGGTTCTATCCCGCCGCCTCCAGGGAGTCTTGAGAGAACCTTAAGGGCCCCCAAGGCCAGTCCTGGCTGCCCCCTGCAGGGGTGTCTGCCCCACCTGGAGTGAGGCCCCGGGGCGCCCGGTTCTTGCCCAGCGGCATCAGCCTCAGACTCTGTCCTGGGCCACATCTCCACCTGCCCTTTCAGTCCCTCTGGGAGAAGGGGTTTTCTCGGGGTCCCTGCTCACTGGCCCTTGGGTAACCTGGGGACAGCGGCCCTGGTGCCAGAGCAGCTGTAATCCCCAGCTTGGCTTTGGCCAGCCACCCCATAGCAGGGCCCTGAGAAATGGGGACCCAGGATGTGGGCCGGCCAGGACAGGAGAGGGGTGGGTGGGCCGAGGGGCCTGCGGAACTGCCTGCCACAGCTCTCTGGCAGTGAGTAGCTGTGGGGATGCTGGAGGAGCCCTCAGCACAGAGGGTCACACTTTGGCGGGGAGGGAAGGCAGGGACCTCGGCATCTGCAGGGCAGGCCGCAGGCCCCTGCGAGGCTGGGTAAGGAGCAGTGCCACCATCTTTGCCAGCTTCCCCCTTCCTCCTGGCGCCAGCCCTCTGTGCCTGAGGAGGGAGGCAGAGAGGAGGAGGGGCAGGGATGTCAGGACAGGTTAGGCCCAGGGGGCCAGAGTAGTGGTTTCCAGTTCTTGGCCCCTTACTCTAGCACAGACCTACCCTGCCAGTTTTCATCCTCAGCGCAGCCTTGCAAGGCAGATGGTTTTGTCATCTGCGTCATACAGGTGAGGAAAGAGGCTCAGAAAGAGGGCAGGGACTGCCCAGGTCACAGAGCCAGCAGGTGGCAGGGCTGCCTCGGCTGCCTCCACTGCTCAGGCAGAGGGCAGCCTCTGCCCCGGGCGAGCACAGGGCCTCCAGCCATGGGGTGGGGCTCTGCGGGCCTCACTTCCAGCTGCCCTGGGGCGGAGAGGGGCGGAGGGGCCTCTGTGGTCACCACAGCCCCGCTGCAGGCCTGGCTTCCTCCCTGGGCACCTGGAAGTGGCCCAGAGGCTAAATGGCAGCTCCTGCCTGCGCTGGCTCTGGAAGGCTTGGGCTTCCCTTGGTAGGGGGGAGAGTTTGAGATCCCGGTGGGGCCTGGGAGCTGGCACTGTGCTTCCTCCCTCTAGTCTGCACAAGGCCAGGAATGAACATTTCAGATGCAGCAGGAGGGACACAGGCCAGGCCACAGGAAGGCCCAGAGCCAGCCCCGGAGAGGAGGCCCTTGTCACCCCAGCAGCAGAAACAGGAGCCTGTCCCTTCCCACAGAGCCTCCCGCGGGCCCAGCCTGGGGCTCTGGGTGGAGCGTCTTCCTTTCCATCCCCAACACCGTTCCGAAGGAGGCAGTCCCTTCCCCTGTGTGGGGACTTGACTCCCCACAGTCCCCTCCGTGTTGAGCAGTCTTCACTGCAGTCCTGCGAGGCCCGGCTAGGGCCAGGGGTTTGGTGACCCCTGAGATCATGCAGCCAGGTGGGGGCTGGGCGGCCCCAGCAGTGTCTCTTGGCTCTGGCTTCATGTGGCCTCCTGTTCTCTGGGGTCCCCATCCTCTGCGCCCTGCAGCATGCCTGGCCCCCACACACTGTGTGTCCCTCCCCTCCCCCGCTGGCGGCCTGTGGTTCTCTCCAGTCCTGCTCCCCCCCAACGCCGGCTTCCCCACTGATGCCTGGGCTCCCTTCAGCTGCCACACTACCTCCCTGCCGAGCTGGGAAGGGGCAGGGGGCTTCACGGGACCCCCACCTTTGGCCTTTCACGTCTGCCCGGATGTCTAAAGGCCTCAAATGAAACTCTACCCAGGCCTTTCTGTCCTGGGCAGGGACCCCCTTCCTGCCCCCGTGCCCTCTGCCCCATTTTCCTCCTTCCCAGGGAAACTTGCCTTCCTGCGTCCTATTCCTCCAAAGCTCTCCTCTCTGCTGGGTGCAGGGCAGGTCTGCCAACTGGCTTTGCCCCGGAGTGCTGAGAGCTGGTGGGCATAGCCCTCTTCCGGAGATGACGCCCTGACCTGGGCCGTATAGAGGCCGGGGCCTTCCCAGGGAGCTCTGCTGGCTCCACACTGCCACTGCCCCTCTGTCTCTGCTCTGGCCAGTCACCTGGGAACTGGGGACAATTCCCACTCACATGGGACAAGGAGAGGTGTGGAGACACGGTGAGGGAAGACGCAGTGTCCTCAGCCCCCCAATTCCCGCAGGGAAGGATGAGAGCCCCTCCCCTGCGGTGAAGGCCACCTCCAGCACCCTGTGCCCCAGCGTCTCTCCGCTCAGTGACAGCAGGGGCCATGGAGGGCCGGGCGGGAGCCAGTGATTAATTCTGGGGATAGCCTGACGCACGGGCTGTGAGCAGAAGGAGTGGGGAGGTGTCACTCCTGTGGAGTAGGGACATTTTTCACTCTGTCACTGGCAGGCCACGTATCTTTAAACAACAGAATAAATAATTCAGGGCCCGATTGCGGCAGATTGGGAGCGGAGACACGGGCGACAAATGGGGCTGTCAGCGCGTGCCTGGCGCCGCCCGGCTAATTGTCATCCAGCCTCCGGTGACGGAACCATCCGCGAGGGCTGGGCTCCGGCCCTCTGCCCACACCCCGCCCTTCCCTGGTACCGAGGATGCTCCCGGTGCTGCTGTCCCCATCCTGTCCTTGTCACTGTAGTCATTCCGGCCCTGCCCTTGTGCTCAGCATTTTGCATAATTTAAAGGGTATTTCCATCCACCCCTAGGCTGACCCCAGATGGGGTTCATTATCACCCCGTTTTACAGATGAGGAAATTGCGGCACTGAGAGGTCAATTTGTTGGAAGGGCCACGTGGCAGATGCCAAGATCCCCTAGAGCAGGCTCCTGGCTGCTGCCCGGACCTCACTGTTAGCTTGTGGGGGCCCTGGGCGGACTTGATGCACCCAATTTCCAGACGGTGAGACTGAGGCTCGCTGCAGGCTCTGGCTTGTAGCTGAGGCCCGAGCTTTCCCCCACCCCAGCCTCTGGAACCAGTGAACTGGATTTCCTAGAACACAGCTCTGGACTTGGGGGAGAACAGGGACCCAGCTGTCCCCCCACCTGCCCCTGGTGCCCTCAGTGGCCTTCAGGTGTGCACCCCCTGCAGTCAGGAGGGATTTTGCTGAGGCCACGGCTGGGGTTTTCCGTCACCTCTGAGCCAGCAGCTGCTGATGAGCTTGGCAGGTTTGGAAACTCCATTTCAGCAGCTTGCCAGGGACGGACGGGGCCCTGGGGAGCGGCTCTCAGCAGCCTGGTGTGCGGCCAGGGATTCGGATCCGCAGAGCCGGCTGCTGGCTCTTTTAGTGGGAGATGGAATGGGCTGGAGATGCTGGCGGGTGGCTGGGAGCCCCTCAGGAAAAGAAGTCTAGACTAAAAGGGCCACCTGCTCATGTTTCAGGCAGGGAAACTGAGGCCCAGCAGGGAAGGGAAGGAGCTAGCTGAGGAGCAGGAGGCCTTCCTGCCACTAGAAGCTGGGCTCCCGTCCCCAGGGCCCCTGTCCCCAGGGCTCCCGTCCCCAGGGCTCCAGTCTATGTGCACCGCTACCCTGCCTCCCTTCGACACCTCCTGCCATCCCCGCGTGGCCCAGCCCAAGACCACCCCCTGGATGCTGCCCCCTGAAACTGTCCTGTCCCGTGGTCCCTCTGCCCTCATGGTCATCCAGCACCCTGGAGGGACATGGTCATTTTAGAAAGAAAGATGGGAATTCTTCATAAACTGTAATGCACCATGCTGTGTTCTTATTCTCTTCCTGGAAGTTGTGGCGCCATTTTCTTCTATTAGCACCTGTCCAGGTGGCACCTAGACCTTGGAACTTCCCTGTCACTGGAGAGCCAAGTGATTTTTTTCACCCTTTTCTTGAATATTTCTGCTGACAGAGCTCACGACCACATAAGGCCACCCACTCCACTTTCAGCTCTGGCCAGGAGAAAGTTCTCCCTTTAGCTGAACTGAACTCTGATCCTCATGCCCCGCCCCCGCCCCATGGTGAGCCCCTCTGCTCACCCCATCCCCAGCAAGTTTGCTTCCTCCACACATGATGGGCCCTCTGACAACTGGACACAGCAGTCCTGCCTGTATTAGTGGGCTTTGGGTAATGCTGCTATGACAAGGAGTCCCAGAACAGAACAGAGTCACTCAAATCAGACACATGTTTGTTTCTCTCTGCCATAATAGTACACGATGGGTGGGCAGGAGCTGGGACCCAGGTTCCTTCATCTTGTTGCTCCATCAGCTCCCAGAGGATGGAGGCTGATTGATCTCAATGCCTGTTCTGCTCACAAGGGAAAAGAGGATGTATAGGGGACACATTCCTTTTTAATCAAATGACACGGGAATTAGACATAGTCTTCCACTCATATTGCATTAGCAAGAATGCGGCAATATGCAAAGCCCTACTTAGCTGCAAGGGAGGCTGGGAAGCATAGTCCTTAACTTGGCAGTCATGCCCAGCAGAAACAAGGCAGAGAAGATTGGGAAGGCAACTCGCAGAACCCCACGCTGCCCCCATTTCCTCTTCCCCACGCCAGATGCCCCTGGCTGTCTGGCAGACGCGTCTCATTTTGAGCTGACAGGATCCCGACAGAGGGTCAGGACAGCTTTAAGACAAAGGGCAGCCGATTTTCTCCCATCTGCTTCCTCTGTCCCCACCAGCAGACCAACCAGGTGGTGATACTGCCCTTGGTCACTTGCCACTGGGCTGGTCCCCAGGCTGCCCAGGGAAACCCTGAACCCTGGCGGACAGGAGATATCACGGGTCTGGCCAGGCTCCTTGCCCCTCTGGCCTCAGTTTCTCACCTGTCATGGGGTGACGCTTCTTTGGCCTCCTCGCTGGGCTGCTGTGGGGTCTGTGCCCTGGCGGGATGGGGACACTCCTGCAGCCCACGAGAGCTGCTGTCACTCCCCGGCACTGGGACTGGCACTGCGCTGGGCCTGGTTGGGGAAGGGTCCCATGGTGGCTGGGCCTGCCAGGGGCTTTGCCCTTACTCTAAAGCGACTGTGTTACTTCTAGCTACAGCTCACTGGACAGAATAGTCATGCGGCCTCGACCCAAATGCAAGGGAGGCTGGGAAATGTAGGGGAGGACATGGAGTACTGGGAAAGCACTGAGGCCACGAGGCAGGCGCCGGCCCAGTCCCCATGTGGGGAAGACAGGTGCAGGGAAGGGCCAGGGCTGAGGGGAGACGGGAACCAAGTGCATGCACAGTGGGCTGTGGCTCTGGGGATTGCCTTTTTCTGGGCGTGGGGCAGAGGGCTGGGCTGATCACATGCCTCAGTTTCCAGCCTTGCACAGCCCCTCCCCAGTGCCCCCTCTCGGCCGCCCCTCTGGTTTGTTCAGTGTGTCTTCTTGGCATGTGCTCTTCCGGAATGTGTGCTTGAACCTCTGAAAGACGTCCCTCTGGCGATAGTTTTCATTAATGGGGTGGGGGAGCTAGAAGGCGGCAGGGGGCTCTGTGGTGGGGCCCTCCTACAGGAGTGGGGGCTGGTGGGGTGAGGGAGGGCCTACAGGCCAGCAGCCCAGCCCAGGAGGTGTGGAGGCGGCCCGGGCCACGCCCTGGGGACGGGTGGGGCTGGCGCCCGGTCTGCGGGGTGCCAGCTGCTGGATGTGTGGGTGGCAGGGAGCTGCGGTAGGTCTTGTGCAGGGCGGTGCCCTGACTCCTAGGTCCCCTGGTCTCTCCCCTTCCAGCACTGGCCACCAAACAGACGTATGTCACCTACACCAACCATGCAATCTAGCTGGGCCACGGAGCTGCGAGGGAGGAGGAGCCACGACCCTGTGGACGGCGCATCGGCCCAGGGCCACTCTCAAGGGCCCAGCTGATGTCCAGCCTGCCCGTGGGTGTCCACGGACGTGGCTTGGTGCTGAGGACAAAAGAGCCCCGGCTGTCACTGCTGGGCAGCCTGGGCAAGCCAGGTGGGCGACAGGAGGAGGACGAGGGGCTGGCAGCTCCAGGCCACCACAAGAGCCTGTGTCTCGAACCGTTGCCCCTCCTGGCTGCAGACCAGGGGCTTGGGTCGTGCAGGCCCCAGTGCTGGTTCTCTCCCTCCCTCCATCTCCGTCTGTGCTTCTGTGCCAGGGCGACCTTCTCAGTCTGTCTCCAGGCCCCGGTCTTTATGTTCCGTTACCTCTGTTCTAGGCTTTTCTGCGTCTGCTCTTCCCGGCTCTTGCCTCTGCCTCCTCTTCCTCGTCCTCTGTCTCAGCTCCTCCTGCTTTCTCCTGGGTTCCAGCTATGTCACTCCGCTCATGCCTTTTTCTTTCTTGTCCTTGACATCATTTCCGTCTAGCCTTCGCTCCCCTCTCCCTACCACCCTTTTCCAAGTCACCAAATCTTACATGTCACAAAAGAGAAAAAAGGAAAAAAAAAGCAAAACACAAAAACGCCAAAACAAAAACAAATCTTGAGTGTGTTGCCAAGTGCTGCGTCTTCCTGGTGGCCTCTGTGTGTGTCCCCGTGGCCCGAAGCCTGCCGTCTGCCGTGTGTCCTGCCCGCCTGCCCGCCTGCCCCTCCTGCCAACCACACAGAGTTCAGTGCCTGGGTGTTTGGTGATGGTTATTGATGACAATGTGTAGCGCATGATTGTTTTTATACCAAGAACATTTCTAATAAAAATAAACACATGGTTTTGCACCTGGGCTCCACATCCACTGAGGGTCCTGCCATGGGACCATGGGCTCGGCTCATGGCCAGAAGGCCGGAGTTAGAGGGAAGGAGGAAATGGGAGATGGAGGCCGCTCCTCGAGCTGGGGTTAGTGCGCCGCGGAGAGGCCTTGGGCAGGGTGGGGCCAGCTTTCCAGGTGAGGGGCAGACGTTGCAGGGCATTCCAGAAATCAACACCTGGTGGTCCCCTGGCCTGCAGTCCCAAGGGAGGGGCGCACCCCACCCCTATGCCTGAGCCTCTCTGCCTGCCAGGAAATCCTCCTGTTGAGCAGTTGGCTTCTGGGGCTGCCACCCCCTGCCGCCCTCCCTGCCTCTTGTCTCCAGGTCCAGGTGCTAAGATGATGTCTGTCTGTCCTGGAGGTCAGAGTGTGGCATGTGTGTCCACGTGGGTCCCTGAGTACACAGTATGGGCGTGGGGTGTGTGGCACACTCAGCCTGCTTGCGAGTGTCTGTTTTGGCCGCATCTGTGTGTACGCCTGATGCCCCCAGATACATGTTTGTCCTGCGTGAGTGTCTGTCTGCCTGTCTGTCTGAGCCCAAGTGAATGTGAGTCCACGTCACACCCGAGTCATGAGGATGCCCGTCCCAGGCCAGCAGGCTTCCTTGGCAGGTTGGGAGGTGGGGCGCAGAAGTGGCTCAGGGGCTGGGCTCTGCCAGGGGTAAATTACAGAGCCAGCGACACCATGAGGCCACAGGCAGCAGCTGGAGCTCAGGCTGCCTCCCCGCCCTTCCCTCCCCCCTCCATGGCTAGCTGACCATGTGGGGCACGGTGGCCAGGGCACTGGAGGGACCCTGGGCAGGGAGCCAGGCGTTAGTGCCCCCTTGATAAGCCCATGCTTACTCCCACCCACACGCAGGTGCTCAGCAAATCTCCCGGGGGTCTGTTTGCAGCACCTAGTACATGCTCAATAAATAACTGGGTAGGGGAGGGAGAGAGCAAAGGGTGACTCTCACCGATCACCCTACTTGTGCAGTGTGGTCCCTAAACCACCCAGAATTGCTCCAGCCTAGTCAGGCAAAATTAGGTTACTGGACCAACAGTGTTTGCCAGAAGCTTCCAGGGCAGCATTGGTGTGCGGGGAGGAGGGGCTGGATGCAGAAGGGGGTACAGCCAGCTCTCTCCCTGGCTGCTTCTCTGCCAGCACCGACCTAGCACGCCGCCCCTCTCCGGCCCCTGCCCTCGTGAGGCTGGGCGGGGAGCTGGGTTTGCTGCGCAGCTCAGCGAGTGCCCTCACGTCTGTGGGGCCTCCATCTAGCTTCCAAGGGGAGAATTACTTCCCTCCGAGCCCCTCTGCTGCCTGGCTCCAGGGAACAGTGGGAGGCCGGTCCTACCCAGGCTGCGAGGGGCAGGCTCAGATGTCAAGGCCTCCTGCGGGGGGAGGAGGTGGAGGCCGTGGGAGCCAGGGCAGGCCACGTGCGGCTCAGACCAGGAGACCAAGGCTGGCCTAGTCCCGCCTGCCCAGGGCGTCGGGGTCCCCTGTGGGTGGGGACACAGCCCTACCCCGAGGGAGCTTCCGAGTCAGACTGTCCCACAGTAAAGTGACGATGGCAGTGAGGTGGGTTAAGTAGGGAGGCTTTGGGTGTGTGTGGCCCGGGCAGCTGAGCCCGAGGTGTGGGGGCCCGTGGGCCTGAGGTGGACAAGAAGGACCAGGTCCCAGCAGGCCTCTGGCGGGCGCACTTGCTCCGGCAGCTGGGAAGGGGGCACCGCTGGCGCCCCGGCCCATCACCTGGAAGACGCACGCCAGCCAGGGCAGGGCTGGCGTCGCACGGGTGGGCCCAGGTGCGTGGTGGCAAGATGCGTGGGCCATTCCTGGGCAGGCTGGCTACAGCCTCAGCTATGAACGCCGGGGTTTAGGTGGGACACCCAAGAAAAGTGCACAGGTGCTCAGTATCTTCAGCATTTCGTATTTCAACAAGGTGAGGGCGTCATGGTCCCCGGCAGCCTGGACAGGGAGCCAGCAGCCCCCAGAGACCATCGCTCTGTGCAGGCCGCGGGGTCTCCGCAGGCTCTGTGCTCACTCCTCTCCGGGCCGCGGCCTCCTCAAGGCCGGGCAGAAGGGATTTGGCCAGTGGACGCTCTACCTCTGAAGGGTACTGTTTTTTACCACCAGGAATTTTTAGACCGGGCCTTCTCTAGAACACTCCGTCTCAACCTCTGCGGGGGCGCCGGCACATTTTCAAAGCTCCTCAGAGGATCCGTTAGCCCAGTGGGCCAGGTGTGGCACCAGCCCTCGGGTTTATGAAGCCGGGAGGGAACGACAATGCCCACTCACGAGCTTGCCTGGGGCTCGAACCCCAAACCGGGCTGTGCCAGCCTGAGCAGGAGCCTGCTGAGCTGCCAGACCAGCTGACACACGGACGCCTTTGCGGAGTTCCTTGGAACCCAGAGCAGCCAGCTTCACAAGCAGGCGACAAACTGGAGTCCTGGGTCCCTTCCAGCTCAGAGGGGCTGGTTCTGAGTTCTGGTGCCCTGTGGTCTGTCCTCCCTTCCTGCCTTCTCAGGCCCCATGCGCACCAGGGTCTTAGAGGGTCTTCTTGCTGCTCCCTCCGCCCAGCCCCAGGTTTCCATCCGCCCACTGAGAATGGAGGGGACACCAAGGCAGCTCCTGGACTCGGAGGGCTCCTCCCTGCCTTCCTGCGTAGCCGCAGGGCTGCCCCCCCAGGCTGGCACTGAATGGCACACAGCACCAGCATCTCACTTCAGTTGGCAAAAGCAGCAATTAGCATCTAATGAGGCTTCTTGCTTTATTTTTAGGTAACCTCCAAGGCCCTGTCTATGTAATTCAGCCCGCCATTGCTAGGCAGATAATTAAAGCATGTCACCATAATTTGCCTTTTTTTAAAATAAAGCCCCATAATTATGTTTTTATTGCGAGTGAGGGGGGAAGGGGGGACGAAAACAAAGAGAGGTGGGTCGGGGCAGGACGTGGGGCCTGGCTCCCTCAGCCAGCCCCTCCCCCTGCGCAGCAGAGCCTGGAGCCCATCCCTGTCCTGGGAGCAGCCACCCCGGACCCACTAACTTCCAGGGCACTTCTCCCCCCTCTCCCTATAAAACCAGCGCAGTCTGCTCCAGTGGCACCCAGTGGGCAGGAAGGGGGCAGAGCTGAAGCCGGAGGAGCCACGTGTTAAGGATTCCCGAGCTGGGATTCTCAATGCTCCTTCCGTGTGTGCTGGGGCAGCTCCATACTAAAAAGGTGAATACAGCTCCACTTCCAGGAAGGGGCCGGCTGACTGCGGGGCAACTGGTGTCGGGGCAACTGGTGTCGGCTCTCAGGGCACTTGTTCCTTCTCTCTGACCACGAGGTGCAGAGCTGTCATTTCCACCACTGTTTTGGCACCAGTGAGCAGGGGAGGGTGGTCCTTCCTGGGGCATCTGAAATCACGCGTTCTGAGCTGCAGGCCAGCTGGGAACAGGCAGGGCAGCCGCCCACATGGTTTCAGGGAGCCTGCTGCCCCCGAACATCTTCCAAACTGCCAGCTTTGGTGCCTGAATTGCTGTGGGTTAAAGCCTCAGGCTGCTGGGCAAGTCATGTTCTTGCAACACATCGACCAGCTGGCAACTATACTGGGATCTGGCATCAAGACACAGCTGCCCGGTAGGTGTGGGACATGGGACAGGTAAGTTTTGGAAGGTCTGATTGTGAAAGAACTTCCCAGATTGCCCTGACTCAAGTAGCACTCCCTCCTCCACTTCCTGGACACCACCACCCAAGCTCCAGACAGCCTGTGACGTTCAGCTTGCTCATTATCTGCTCCCCACACCAGAATGTCCGTCCTCCCCGGGGCAGGGACTTTTGTCTATTTAATCACAGTTGAATCTCAAGGCCTAGGACAGTACCTGGCACATGGTAGGCATACAATAAACATTTGGGTGTTTAGAGACAGTCTTGCTTGGTTGCCCCAGCTAGAGTGCAGTGACCATCACAGCTCACAGCAACCTCAGACTCCTGGGCTCCAGCCATCCTCCTGCCTCAGCCTCCCGAGTACCTGGGACCACAGGCGTGCACCACCACCCCTACTATTTGTTGAATGAATGAGTCAGGAAGGGAGCTGACCTGGATACTTAGAGGGACCTACTTAGCTGTATCCCCACACTCCTGCACTTAGTGCTATCTATGAGTTTCTGCCCAAAATCCAATGGACATTTCTTCACTTGAGCTTCCTAAAACCTTCGCTTACAGACTTGGATTCTGGGTAAGGCTCTGCCACCAACTCCCTGTGTGCCCTTGAGCAAGTTGCTTTACCTTTCTGGGCTTCACATTCTACTCCTTAAAATGAGGGATTGAGCTCTGAGCCTGGGTAAGCAGCCAGCATCCCAGCAGTGCAGAAAGGGAGGTGACAGCTGAGAAGAGTCTTTTGGGACCAGTTGCTATGGCAACTATGTGCACAATGGGGGAGGGGGTGGGGCTTGAGTATGCAAAGCAGGCCCTTCCTTTGGCTTCCCCAGCCCAGGTTGTCTGTCTGTGATTGGAGGAAGACATAGGATGGAGACACGTGGGGGTTGCTGGTGCAGGGAACCAGTGGAGGGCGGGCCTGGCAGCCTGCACTCCCCCACTCCTTCACCTGCCGCTTGAGAAAGCAAAGAGCTAAGTGTCTAAGCTGGATGGGGCCCCAAGGACCATGGCCCCCATCACACACATTGACAGAGAAGGAAACTGAGGCCCAGAGAGTCAAGAGGCTCGCCAAGACTTGAGAGGTTGGCTGGGCATGGTGGCTCACGCCTGCAATCCTAGCACTCTGGGAGGCTGAGGCAAGGTCAGGAGTTCAAGACCAGCCTGAGCAAGAGCAAGACTCCGTCTCTAGTAAAAATAGAAAGAAATTAGCTGGATAACTAAAAATATATAGAAAAAATTAGCTGGGCATGGTGGCGCATGCCTGTAGTCTCAGCTACTCGGGAGGCTGAGGCAGGAGGATCGCTTGAGCCCAGGAGTTTGAGGTTGCTGTGAGCTAGGCTGACACCATGGCACTCTAGCCTGGGGAACAGAGTGAGACTCTGTCTCAAAAAAAAAAGAAAAAAATTAAGACTTGAGATGTCTCAGGGAGACCCTCCCCCATCCTGATCGCCTGCCCTCCCTCAGCCTGGAAAGTTAGGGGAGCACACTGTTTTCGGGGGGCCCAGTAAACACTCTCCCTTCTGAGCTTGGCAGATGCTCCTGCAGGCAGAGGAGCTTGGAGGGAAGGACCCACCTTGTTCATCTGATCTGTGGGGGTGGATGGCATAGGCAGGACAGGCAGGTACAAACACAGATGAGGCCACTTGAGGGGCCTGGGATTAGAGGTTTTGGCTTTGGTCTCTGCCAGGGCTCTGTGACTCAGAGACAGATTAGAGTCTTAGCTCTGTGAACTTACTTCAGTTTCTACATCTGTGAAACAGAATCGTATCTGCTGAAAATGATGTCAAGACCACAAAACCATTGTTGGACCACAGGAGATCAGCAGAGGACAAGCCCCCGCCTTGCGTTTGCTGCCTCACCTTCCAGGACAGTGTGGTCCCCTGCGTTCCTCCCCCCCAGACTCTCCCTCCCCTGTGGTTTGGGCTTCTTCTGCCCACTCCTCAAATGCTAGGTTCCCCCTAGGGTTCCAGGCCTGGAGCTTTTTTCTTCTTTTACTTCAAAAGTCCCATAGCCACCTCTCTCATTTAAACTCATGGCTTCAGTGCTTTCCAAATACTTCATGACGGCCAGGCGCGGTAGCCCATGCCTATAATCCTAGCACTCTGGGAGGTTGGGGAGGGAGGATTGCTTGAGCTTTGGAGTTCAAGACCAGCCTGAGCAAGAGTGAGGCCCTGTCTCTACCAAAAAGAAAGAAAGAAAGAAAGAAGAAGAGAGAGAGAGAGCAGAGAGAGAGTAGAGAGAAGAAAGAAGAAAGAGAAGAGAGAGAAAGAAGAAAGAAAGAAAAAGAGAAAGACGAGAGAAAAGAGAGAGAGAGAAAGAAAGAAAAAGTGAGAAGAGAAAGAAGAAAAGTGGAGAAGAGAACAAGAAAGAAGAGAGAGAAGAGAAAAAAACAGAAGAAAGAGGAGAGAGAAAGAAGAAAGAGAAGAAGAAAAAGAAAAGAAAGAAGAAAGAAAGAAAGAAAGAAAGAAAAAGAAAGAAAGAAAGAAAGAAAGGAAGAAAAACCCCAGCTAGGTGTTGCAGCCTGTAGTCCCAGCTACCTACCTGGGGGAGGCTGAGGCAGGAGGATCGCTTAGAGCCCAGGAGTTGGAGGTTGCAGTGAGCTATAATGACACCACTGCACTCCATCCAGGCCGGCAGAGTGAGATTCTGTCTCAACAAAAACAAATGAGGCAACTGAGCACCCCTCCTCACAACCCTGTACCCCGAATATTTGAAAAAAAACCCAAATACTCCATGTCCTTCCCCTACATGTTCCAGCCTCCCTTGCAGTTAGTTGAGGCCATGTGACTATTTTGTTCAGTGAGCAGTGGCTAGAAATAATGCCAGTCACCTCTGGACTGAGGCCAGGTGAACCCCCCCCCCCCCCGTGCCTCCCTTCTCTTGCTGCGCTGACCTTGGAGGTCACATGCTGAGTTGGTGGCATGTGAGTTGGAGACCCCTGGATGGAGGAGAGACTCTGCCAGCCCACGATGAATTGTCTGTGAACAAGAAACAAACTTCCTTTGTGCCGAGGTGCTGAGATTTCAGGGTTCGTTACAACTTAAAGGTTTCCTTATCCTAACTAATGTGCCATTCCCCGAGTGCCATGTTTGTATATCTCTCCCAGTCTCCAAACCCCCTTTTGAGCACGCCACTGGCTACTCCATGTCCTTCCCCTACATGTTCCAGCCTCCCCTGCAGTTAGTTGAGGCCATGTGACTATTACTAATTGTCTGCAGTGGAACCTGCAGTCTTTCCCTAAACCTACTCCTCTGCCTGTATCCCGTGACCCCATTTTGGTGGTCGCAGCCACCCAAGCCAGAAACCTGCACCTTCTCCTAGACCCCCCGCCCACCTCTCATCAGTTGCTAAGTCCCCACCATTCCCTCTGCTCTCTGCCCCCCAGGGCCACCTCCCGGACTGAAGCCTGCACCGCCTCTCCCCTGGATGGCTGTCACCGTCTCCCAGCTCCTCCACCAGCTTCCAGCCCTTGTTTCCGCACTCAGAAGGTGTTGCTCTCTGTCTTGGGAATGGCGTTGTTTCCAAGGAGCACCCTTATCTTCGCCGTCATGCTTGTCTCGTCCCTCTGTATAGATGATGCCTCTTTCCTCTGGCTGCTTTTAAGGTTTTCTCTTTCTCACTGGTTTTGAGCCATTTGACTACAATGTGCCTTGGTGTAGTTTTCTTCATGTTTCTTTTACTTGGGTTTTGTTGAGCATCTTGAATCTGTGGGTTTATAGTTTTCATTATATTTGGAAAATTTTTGGCCATTATGTCTTCAAAAATGTTTCTGTCCACCCTTTCATCTTTCCTCCTTTGGAGACTTACGTTATATTACATGTGTGTGCCTTGGGCCTCAAAGCTGCCCGGCAGCTCAGTGCTGCTCTATTCTTTTTATTTCTGGCCTTTTTTCCCCTTGTGTTTAATTTTGTGCAGTTTCTGTTGCTGTGTCTTCAAGATCACTAACCTTTTCTTCTGTGATGTCCAATATGTTGTTAATCATATCAAGTGCATTTTTAAAATACCAGCATTGTAGCTTTCATCATTAGAAGCTTGACTGGGTCTCTTTTATCTCTTCCACATCTCCAGTTAAATGTACATTTCCCACTAGCTTCTTGAACATATGGAATGCAATTATAATAACTTTGAATATTCTTGTCTCTTAATTCTAACATCCATGTCATTTCTGGGTTGGTTTCAATTGATTGATTTTTCTTCTCATTATGGACCACATTTTCCTCCTCCTTCGTATATCAAATACCTTTTCATTGGATGCCAGGCACTGGGTTTGACTGCATTGGGCGGCGATTATTTCTGTTTACAGAGGAATATTCTTGAGCTTTGTCTAGAGTGTGGTTAAGTTACTTGGAAACGGTTTGATCTTTTCAGGTATTGCTGTTAAGCTTTGTTAGGGCCAGTGCATTTAGTCCAGGGCTACTTTTGCCCTGTATGAGGCAAAACTTTTGTGCGTTCTCCAGCCCATGCCTTGTAAATCATGAGGTTTTCCCCTGTGGCTGGTGGATCACATGTGAGCCCCAGGGACTGCTCTCTGTCATCAGCCTCCCGTAGTTTCCTTACTGAAACCGGAAGCACTGATCAGCATTTAGCTGAATGCTCCAGGGCCACCTCTTGCGGCTCTCTCTCTGGGTTCTCTCCTCCCTGGACTCTGACCTGGGAACTCAGGCCTCCTCCGCCTCCCTCGACTCCAGCTCAGCCTCACTGCTGCCTCGCTGCTGCCTGAGCCGCAGCCCCGAGCTGTCTGAGCGCTCAGCGGGACGACGGCAGGTTCGCCTCATTTGTCACCTCACCTGTCTCTTAGGGATCGTTTTCGTTTGTAGCTGAATGTCCATTGTCTTGAGAACCATGGTTTCATGTATTTTATCTGTTTTTTTTTTTTAGTTGTTTTAGACAGGAAGGCAAATCTGGTCCCTTGTTAGGGACTGAGTCTTTGTGTTCCCCCAAATTCATACGTTAAAACCTTATCCCTTAATGCGACGGTATTAGAAGGCGGGTCCTTTGGGAGGTGATTAGGATCAGATGTGGTTGCGAGGATGGGGCCCTCAGGAATGAAATTCCCTACTAAGAGTCCCGAGAGAGCTTGCTTCTCGCTCCGCTCTCTGTCATGCGAGGATACAAGTGGTCGTCTGCAACCCGGAAGGGGCCTCGCCAGAACCGGCCTGGGTGGCCCTTGGATTCTGGCCTCCAGAACTCTGAGGAACAAATTCCTGTTGTTTATCAGCCCCCGAGTCTAGGGTGATTTGTTACAGCAGCCAGACTGACTAAGACATCCCTGTTACTTCATTTTGGTTGGAAGTAGAAGTGTCCCCCTGTCTTTCTAAGACGCAGTCCCCTGCTCAGTTTCGCCTGGGCTTTCTCACTGCCCTTGGCCTAATGACAAGAAGGGCTAACTCAGCACCAGGCACTATTCTAAGTTTTAAATGTATTGAATTGTTTACTCCTTACAACAACTGTATGAGGGAAGTACTCTCTTTGTTCCCATTTTACAGATGAAGGCACTGAGGCTCCAAGAGGTCAAATAACTTGCTCAAGTGCACACAGCCAGGAGGTGGTGGAGCTTGGATTTGAACCCAGGCAGTGTGGCTCCCGCCCTCGTTCTTAGCCTCCCCTCCACACTGCCTCTCTAAGGCACTCCAGCCGGCTTCCGCCTCCACCATTCATCCCTCCATTCGGTGGCTTCCAATGACTACCGTGTGCCCAGGTCTACGGCTGGTTCCCGGAGACGGGGAGCGAGGCGGAAGGAGGAATTACGAAGCGTGGGCAGTGGAGGGCAGCTTCACACCCGGGAGCTCGAGGAGGGGCCCGCATCCACTTCCCGAAGGAGGAAGGAATAATACCTGAGCCGCCCCTGAAGGTGGAGGGGACGGGGGAAGGGTATTTCAGGGATGAGCAAACGACAAGGTGACAAACAACGTATTTGGGAAGGGGGCCAGGTAGAGATACTGGGAGGACGATGATGAGCACTGCGGGGTGGGAGACGAACTGGAGGGTGGCAAGGGTGAGGGCAGGGGTGTGGGCTACACAGAGCGGCCTGGGCTTTCTTCTAAGAAGGGAGTGACCTGGCCAGAGCTGCAAATTGGGACTGTCCCTCTGTGGATGAAGGGCCTGGCCTGGGGGCTGGGAGACCTGTAGGGAGCCTAGTGCCATGGGGCTGTGAGAGCCAAGGACCTGGGGAGCAGGGCTCGGGTGGATGTGGAGGGTAAGCAAGTGGATGGAGGGGTGAGGCTGGCCAGGAAATCTGGATGGTGGAGCTGCTTGGAGGGGAGATTGAGGGCTTGTCCTTCTAGGTTATATCTTTAAAGAGAATGGGCGTGCACTCTATGCGTCCCTTTCCTCCACCTCTGGTGGAATGCAGATGTGATTGCAGGAGCTAGAGTAGCCACCTTGAACTCAGAGACTGAAGCCAAGTTTAAGGGATGGCAGAACTACACTGTAGTCCAGAAGGACCTAGCTCTGGACTGTTGTGTGTAGGAGAAATCAACTTCTAACTTGCTTCACCATAATATTTTGGAGTCTCTGTGACAGTAGCTTAGCGATTCTTGAACCAATGCACTTACGTGTCACTGATACTCACGCCTGTGTCAGCTCTGCTGGGGCTGATCCTGTGCTAGAGATGACGTCCCTTCTGCCACCTCCAATCCCACTTACCCCTGACCACGGATACTATCGGGTCAAGATTCTACTTGGGCCAGGTACAGTGGCACACACCTGTAGGGCCAAGGCGGGAGGATCACTTGAGGACAGGCGTTCAAGACTAGCCTGGGCAACAAAGCAAGACACCATCTTTAAAAATAATAGTAATTCTTTAAAAAGATTCTATTTTTGCATTCCTTCTTCTAGAACTCATCCTTCTGCTGTGCCACCACAACGCTACCCTTTATTGTGCATTCTTGGCCATGTCTGCATCCTAGACCACGGGCTTCTTGGGGGCCATGTCTTATTCCTCTTTGTGTGGCCAGTGCTACCTCTATGGGGACTCAGCATGTGTCGTGTGGACGACTCTGAGCAGCAGGCATGGAGAGCATGCCACGGGGCTGCTGGGAGAATCCAGTGAGCTCGCTGCATTAGTCAGGTGCGTAGGCCAAAACCACAAAACTTTCCTCACTCACACTATCTGTCCATGTGGGTTAGGGGACGGGGCTGTGCTCATCATAGTTACTTGGGGACCACAGATGACACAGGCGCCTCCGTCTTCTGGTGTCATCACCTCCACACAAGGCTTTCTTGGCAGGGCAAGAGAACATGCAGAACTGCACACCAGCTCTTACGTGCTTCTACCAGAGAGGGACACCATCCTTTCTGCTCATGCTTCATTGGTCAAAGCGAGTCCTACAGCCGCATCTAACTTCAGAGGGATGAGGACCTGTGATCCTATCTGCCTAGGAGGGACAACCGGGGCTACTGGTTAGCAGCGATGGTGCCCGCCACAGCTGGGCAGGCAGCAGTCTGGTACGGCACTGAGAACACAGCACACGGTCAAGTGGTGTTTGTTTCTGCTCTTCAGTCCATCATTCAACACGTATTTCCCGTGTATAGTGGGGACAGGCAGTTAATGTTCCTCGTCATGGAGCTTCGGTCAAGTGGGGCAAGAGGGGACAGACATTTCTCACAACAACACACTCATGTATAGATAATTATGGTGTGTAACAAGTGCCCAGGAAGACAAGAACAGGTCCCATGAGAGAGAATAATGGGGTGTGTGTGTGTGTGTGTGTGTGTGTGTGTGTGTGTGTGATTACGTCAGAATGGGGGAGTCACAGAAGGCCTGTGTGAGAGGGTGGCCTTTAAGATGAGACCGGGAGTCAGCGGAAGAGTGGGAGAAGAGCTTTTGAGGCAAAGGGAATAGCAGGTACAAAGGCACTGAGTTTGGAGGGGGTCCGGTCTGGCAAGTTTAAGAAACTGCAGGAGGCCCGTGAGCCTGGCCCAGAGTGACAGGGCAAGGCGGAGAGTGGGGCAGGTGAGGGTGGAGAGGCCTGCTGGGAGGTCACCAGGACCTAGTAGCATGCCGCTGGGAGGCCACTGGAAAGCTCCAAGCAGGACAGGGCATGATATGCACCCTTCATGACCTCTGACCTGTTTGTGTGCTCAGGGCTCAGGCCACAGAATCCCTTGCTTCTCCTATGCTTGCTCCCTGGGGAACTCGTCAGCTCCCAAATGTGTCTCCAGCCCTGTCCTTGCACCTGAACTTGACCCATGTGGCCCCCTCTCAGCTCTGCCAGGCTTCTCCACCTTAAGGCGTGCAGATCCAGACTCCCGACCACCCCTCGGCCTCCCCCTCAGTAAAAGGCCCCACCATCCTCGGGGTCAGAAACGCTGGGGCCGGGCTCCACTGCCCCCTCTGGCTCTCCCCATCCTGCGTGTCTGCAGCTCCTGCTGTTGCCTTACAGTGCCTCCAGTGCCCTCCCAGGGAGCCCTCGCAAGCGGCTGCTGGCTTCAGCTCTTGCCCCCCAGCGAGACCCCCCAGCAGCCAGAGCAACCTGTGAAATGTAGTTTGAATTCCTCCTCAGCCATCACACTCTAAGTACACCCCAAACCCCTGGCCCGCCCCGTGTTGCTCCATTCTCCGTGCCTTCCCTCCCCCTTCCTTACCCTGCCACTTGGGTCTCCCTGCTCTGCCCAAACCCGGCACCTCCTTCTCCTCCCTGACTCTGCCATGCTTTGCTGAGCGAAGTTGTCTTCACAGAAAAGCACTCTGACCGCTGGCCTCACACAGCAGCCACCGTGTCACTGCAGCCCCTAGGCTTCCTTTCTCCTCCTAGATCTCAGCAGTCCTGACATTAGTCACTGCACTCTCCCCAGGAGAATGGAAGCGCTGTGCGGACTTTGCTGTTTTCTACTGAACTTCCAATGCCTGAAACAGTGCCTGGCACATGGAGGATGTTCTATAAATCTTATACTTATCGAATGAATGAGTGGAGAAAATGACCTTGGAATTCTAGGTGCTGCTAGCAGGACAAAGGCCTCACTTTGTTTTATTGAGCGGGAAGCCAATCAGGGCCTGCTGGCAGTTTGGGTTTCTGGACGTGGAAAGTTACTTTGGAACAGGCTCCATTTGCTCTTTCTTCCCCCCAGACAGGGCCTTTAGCTACACACAAGCAAGCCCAACCCACTCACACTTGTCCCCCAAGGAAACTGAACAGGCACCACAAATCGGAATGCAGATACTGCAGTTCGGATGTTAAGTGTGCTGTGCAGTCCCGTAAACTGGCAGCAGCCTGGCCTGGCTGCACCCTTGCAGCACTAGAGAAATGCCCTTCCCCAAGTGCACATGGAGGCTGACCTGTGGCTGTCCCAACATGGTGTCACTTTGAAGTTTAATAACCCAGACTCTGGGAAATGATTGCTTTGCCTGGGCCCAGAGCCAGGCCCATTCATTCATTCATTCATTGAACAAGGTAGCACTGAGCACCTGGTGTGGGCTGGGCACTATGTGCCAGAGTGCACAGAGTGGACACAGACCCCAAGGGAAGGAAATTGCTTGGGTCTTGGGCTGGGAGGTGGGGGCGTGGGGACAGGATACTCTCTGAGTCCAGGGAGGTGAAGAGACCTGGAGATTTGGGGAGGAAGAAAGTTGTGGAATCAGGCCTTGGACTTGTGGAATCAGTGAGGGGCCACAAGGAGGGTGGGACTGTGGGATCTGAGAGCCCCAGGAGCAGCTGCTACTGCAGGGCATGTCACATACTCTCAGGACTCTCTCGATTGTCTCCAGAACTTCAATAACACACGTGTTGGGCTTCCAGCTGCACACTGTTGCAGGGAGCGGGTGAAATAGAGAAGGTGGTTACCAGACAGTGAGAGGTGAGTGGAGCAGCAAACGTTAGGAGGATGCCAGCAGGTGGGAGTGACAGGTGGATGTCCTAAAGATCTCCAACAGAACACCCAGAGTGCTCCATAAAAGAAGAAAAAAAAAGATTCTGTTCAAATGCATAGCCATGTTTGTAAAATGAATGAATGAGTGCAAGGAAAACCTTTAGGGTGTCAAATATAAAGAGGGTTCTGGAAGCCTGAGTGTGGGGACTCTGAAGCTGCAGGGACTTCTCAGGTCATTTGGTCATCTCCACAAGCCAGACACGAGTTTCTCAATAGCGGCACGGCCGACACTGAGGCTGACTGCTACGTCCTGAGGGCTGTCCTGTGCATCGCAGGGTGTCCAGAGCAGCTCTGGCCTCTACCCGCCAGATGCTAGCAGCACTTCCTCCCTGTGTGACAACCGAAACTGTTGCCAGACCTTGCCGAGTATCTCCTAGGGGACAAAGTGGTCCAGGTGGTGAGCCCCTGCCTTAGAGGCTTGAGTGTGAAGGGCCCCACAGGGAAGGAGACAGGCTGTGGGCCGTGGTGGGGAACTGTAATTGGGAGCATCACAAACAATCCAGAACTCTCAGAAGGCTACGTTTTTTGTGGAAGGATAGAGAGAGAGAAAAACTCCACTCAGTGTCAATGAGAAATAAGAACAATTTGTCTGTTTCAGCATGTGCTGTAGGTAGGGAAAAAAGCCTTCTTTGAATTTGTAATCACAAGCCTGCCCACACATGGTTTAGGTAAACATTTGCGTTATGTGTATACCCAGGAAACTCTAAGTGGTGCAACTGACGACAAGTGTGTTGGTAGCACCTAGTCACCTGGCTGGCAGAAGCAAACACAAATTCTACTGGGAGGGATACACCTTCAACTTCAGCTGTACAGGATTCCCACGGACAGACTAGCTAAGCTTGAGTTTACAAAACAAAATTACAAAGCACACAAGAAAAGAAGAGATCACAAGTGAGTTAGTAAAAACAATAAATGGCAAAATTAGACTTTCAAGACTTAGGATATTGAAATTATCAGATCCAGAATATTTTTTTAAAAAAATCATGCTTAAAATGCTTAAAGAAATAAAGATGCTATCAGGAGAACCAGGCAAATATGAAAATGAAGAAAGAGACTCAGAAATGAAAATGATAATGTTGAAATTTAAAACCCAATGGATGGGTTAAAGACATATTAGATACAGTTGAAGAGCTAGTTAGTGAACTGGAAAATAGATATGAAGAAATCATTAGCTATAATGTAGCACAGAGAGAAAAATATGAACAAGAGGAAAAAAGACATGGAATATAGAATAAGGAGTTTAACAAATGTCATTTAGGAATTCTAGAGATCACGGAAAGAATTGGGAGAGGCCACAATCAACAATATGTTGATTAGGATTTTTTCAGAAATGATAAAGAAGACAAACCCTGGGAAGGAAGCATAAAGAATTCTTAGCAGAGTAAATAATGAGAAACCCAGACCTAAAAACATCGTTGTGAAAGTGAAGAAACCCAAAAAGGTCTTAAATGCATCTGGGTAGAAAAACATCAGATTCCAAGTCACTCCAGGATGGATCTGTGGGACATGAACACTGTCGTTGGGATACTCAGGAATACCCTAGGGGAGGGGACCTTGGGAGAAATGCTGGACTACTGCCAGCACGAGCGGGCTCAGACCATTGTTATTAAGACATTTAAAAAATACTATCTTAGTATTCTCTCCAGCTAGGCCTGATGGTCTCACTGCCCAGCGCTGCGGGTATGTGGGGGCACACTCAGTAAGCTCTGCCCAGGAGCTGTGGGAGGTCCCCTTTGTCTGGAGAGAGTGGGGCTGCCTCGGCAGCACTGCCTGGCTAGCGGGGAGTAAGCCCTGGGCGCCGGCTCTAACCTCCGGGCTTGCTGGGGCCGCTGCCCTCAAGGGACTCTGGAGGCCACTGAGGGCAACCTTTCCAGCCACCAAGGCTTGGAGGCGGTGATGGGCTGTAAGAGGAAGCTGGAGATGGCAGGATAGGGAAAGGTGGGGTGGAGCTGGGGTGTGGGCAGGAAACTGGAGGACAGGGGAGAGGCTGAGAAGGGGAGGGTGCTGAGAGGACTCTCAGGGACACCTCTACTTCTAGACGGCACCCCCACCTCATGCATACACACCCCCTTCTCCATTCTTCCTATGAATTTCTCACCAAACAAGCTTCATTAATTGTCTAATAACCGGATTAATTAAGGACGCTGAAAGTAAACAGCAAGAAGGTAATTTGATCCTGATTACTGTGTAACTGTGGGAGGGTGCACTCGTTTGCATATGCAAAGAAGGCTCCAAACAGCGAGAATGGCGGCGGAAGGAAGTCCTTGTGTGCCTGCCGCCCCTCCCGGCCTAGCTCCCAGCCTCCCGCAGACCCTCCTCAGCCCCGCTCAGAGGCCGCCCCAGCCCGCCCTCCGGCAGGCGGCTCCTCCAGCTCCCCCCTCACAGGTGCGTCCGGCTCGGCCCGGCCTGAGCGACCTTGGCCGCGCGTCTCTTCCGTAAGACCCCGTTCTCGGTTTCTCAGTCTGAAAAATGGGCTCATAAGTACACTTGCCCGTAGTCACCGAGAGGACTACGCTGAGAGCGAGTGTGTTCCGTAAGCGGGCCGGAGTTGCCGAGGCTGCGTCTTGCAAGGCCCCTCGAATCCCGCCGCAGGGCGCCTCGCGGCACTGCTCCCTTTGGGCCCCAGTGTGCCCGTTTCTGTGGAAGAGCGGGCCGCAGCGGCGGAGGCCGGAGCCAGAGGCCGCGCCGGGCTGGCGGTGCCCCGGCCCCCTGGCCCCCAGACGCCGGCCGCTTCCTCACGGCGGCGCCTCCCCTGCACTCAACTTGCGTTTGCAGAGCAGCTAACAGACGCATTAAAAAACCCATTTTCGCTCGGGATTGAATCTGACTGGAACAAGATCAATCCGCGGAGGCCTCTGCCCCCCCCAGTCGCCATGGAGACCGCGGAAGCTGCCCCGCCCCGCCCCCCCGTCGCCATGGAGACCGTGGAAGCCACCCCGGCCCCCCCCTCCCGGGCGCCCCCAGCCAGCTGCCCCGGGTCGGGGTCGGGGTCCTGGCCCCGTCCACACCCGCGTGGGTTAGCTCGCCTCCAGCCAGCACGCAGCCCCTTCCAGGAGAAGTGTGCAAACCAATGTGTTGGGGGTGCGGTGGGAGACTGCTTGATGTCTCCATTGAACCGCACCCCAAGTTTTTCGGTTTTGTTTTGTTTTTTTGAGATAGAGTCTCACTCTGTTGCCCAGGCTAGAGTGCCATGGCGTCAGCCTAGCTCACAGCAACCTCAAACTCCTGGGCTCAAGCGATCCTGCTGCCTCAGCCTCCCGAGTAGCTGGGACTACAGGCATGCGCCACCATGCCCGGCTAATTTTTTCTATATATTTTTAGTTTGCCAATTAATTTCTTTCTATTTATAGTAGAGACATGGTCTCACTCTTGCTCAGGCTTAGTTTCGAACTCCTGGCCTTGAGCAGTCCTCCCGCCTCGGCCTCCCAGAGTGCTAGGATTACAGGCGTGAGCCACCACACCCGGCCTCACACCCCAAGTTTTATCCCAAACCACCGCCCACCTGCCAGCCAGCTGTGGCAGTTGCTTGGCCCTTGGGCCTGGGATTCAAGGGACTTCTGTCTCCTTCTTGCTATGAGACTAGAGCAAGTCGCTTCCCACTTCTGGTCCCCCCTGGTCCTGGGTAAGAGCGGCACTAACACCTCTCTGCAGGATTGGGGTGGGCGGGAGACTGAGGCGCCCAGTTGGTGACAGCAGAGAAAGAGTTTCAGCCCTGCACTGCTTGGGGAGACAGGTTTACACGTTTGCAGACTGTGCCAGCCCCTTCCCTGCACTCTCCCCGGCACCCGGGAGGCCCGGGCTGTGGTCTCCGTGAGGCCAGAGACTGGTCTGCTGTCCACAGCATCCTGGGGCCCAGCAGACTCTGGCGACAGGGCGTCCTGCACAAATGCTTGGATATTCAGTGATGAAAGGGGGACTCCACGCTGTAGCCTGGCAGAAATTGGAAACTAGGCCAGCCTGGCTGCTTGGGTCTGAATCTTGTCCCCATCATTTACTAGCTGTGTGATCTGGGGCATGTTAATTAACATCTTCGTGTCTCAGTTATCTCATCTGTAAAAGGGAGGTAATAATTGTACTGACCTCTTGGTGCCATTGTGGAGATTAAATGACTCAAGCATATAAGGTGCTGAGAACAGGGCAGGCACACAGTGAGTCTTCAAGAACGTCTGCTCTTCTCACGTTCATGCTGTGGTTTTAGGGGAGGGGGCAGGCCCTGGCCCAAGCCTTCGTCTCTCCTTTCCCTCTCTCCTCTGAGAGCAGCCTGCTGCTGGCCTCCTGCAGCTTCTCCTTCGGGGTTCTCTTTGGCCACAGCACAGGTGGGCAGAAGTCGCCAGGGTTTCCTTCTGTGTTCTAGAATTAGGGGAACAGAACATGTGTGGGGTCGCCAGGGTTTCCTTCTGTGTTCTAGAATTAGGGGAACAGAACATGTGTGGGGGCAGGGACATCACCCCTTGTTCCACCCACAGCCGCTCTCTGGCCTCCCCGACTGCCATGCCTGCAGCCCCCTTGCTCCCTGGCCCTGCCCTCAGGTCCTCTTGCTGCCTCTGGAGTCCCTGCTTTTGCTCTGGTCTCCAGAGAGGCCCTTCGTAGGCACGTGGGGCTGGGGGCAGAGGGCGTGGGAAGGGGGATGATGGACTTGATCTGGAGCTGGAAGGACCTGGGGTGCCCAGGCCAGCACCCCTGGTGGCAGTGGCCTCCTTAGCAGGCACTGCGATTTTGTGTAACTCAGGCTGGCATGGCAACTGCCCAGTGTCCCTCCTGGATAAAATGTCATTGAAGGTTCAGGAAGGTGCTTGGCTCCCAGGGTCTCCCCAAGCCCACTGAATGCAGCGGTGGGTCCCCAGGCCCTGCCTGCACAGGAAGAGCATTCCCCCCGCTAACCCTGCCCCTCCCCTTTCGCCTCCTCTCTCAGCTGTCCCCTTCCCTCTGGAGCCCACTATGGGACCAGGCTGTTTGTAGGGACAAAGATGCTGAGATGGGGACTCTCTCAGTAGTTCTAGCAGGGGGTGGGCAGTTACTGATCCCGTGTGAAGCGGACATTGAAGCACCCAGTGTTTTTAATGGATTTGGAGATCTGGCTTTGAGTCTGGGTCCACTCTTGGCAAGCTAGTTCAATTCCCTGGGCCTTGGTTTTCCTACCAGTAAAATGGACATGTAAACGGCAGTGACAGGAATAATGACGGCACCGTGAGGGGTCCCCAAGAGGATAAAATGAAGTCTTGCAAACTCTTGTAAACCAGTTAGGTCTTCCCTTTTGGAGTGGGAGGGCAGAACTGGTCTTCTTCCTCATGTGTCTGCAGAGCCTAGCAAACACCAGGTGCTTAATAATGTGAATGGATTTGAACACCCAGAGGCTCCAGGAAGCCCTGGCTGGAATTCACGTGGGAGGCAAAGAGAAGCCAAGGTGTTCCGCCAAGAGGAAAGGGTGGTGGAGAGAGAATTCAAGAGGATGTTAAAGAAATCATGACTTTCATATAAATATAAAATGAATACGCGTCAAAGACTTTAACTTATTATTTAATGAGGGAACCGGTAAGATGTTACAACTAGTTCAAAGGAGAATCCAAAGAGCAGATTCACATATAGGCCACCAGGAAATGAAGTTGCAAACAGATGAAAAATTGGTAGTATCCACAGATCAGTAATCAATTGCACCCCTATCAGACAAAATTCATCTGCATTTCTATGGACAAGAATCCTTGCTTTGCCGCCCATTTTGTACAGCTTACAGAGTTGTATTGTAAACTGGCTCAGAGGCAAGGAAAGGCAGAGAGAGGCCCCTAGAGGCTCAGATAACCCAGAGCTGTGTAGTGGACAGAGCACATAGTCTCTCTCCTGTTTCAAAGTCTTTCACCATTTTTCACGGGAGGGAGGTGAGAGCACCACAGGGCTGAGGCCTCTTCAAAGGCACGTACTGGTACCCGCGCTGCCTGGGCTTCCCTGAGCTGTGGGGCTCTGTGGGGAGGGCACCTGAGCCCTAACATTCGTAGCTTCTCTCCTTTCTTTTTACTTCTGATTTTTAAAAATTGAGATATAACATATTTACAGTAAAGTGCACATATATTAAGTCTACAGCCCGATGAATTTTTTCATACGTCTACTCTCACGTAACTGTTATTGAAATCAAGGTTTAGAACATTTCCAGAACTTTAGAGGGTTCCCTTTACGCCCCCTCCTAGTTAATAAATAACCTCCCTGAAGGGTAACCACTTCTCTGACCTCCATCACCATAGATTATTTTTGTGTTTTTTGAACTTCAAATAAATTGAATCATATAGTAGATACCATTTTGTGTCTGGATTATTTTGGTATAGTATTTGTGAGATTCAATCATGTTGTCGCATACATCAGTAATTTATTTATTTATTTATTTTTTTTTGAGACAGAGTCTCACTTTTGTTGTCCAGGCTAGAGTGAGTGCCGTGGCGTCAGCCTAGCTCACAGCAACCTCAAACTCCTGGGCTCGAGTGATCCTTCTGCCTCAGCCTCCCGAGTAGCTGGGACTACAGGCATGCGCCACTATGCCCGGCTAATTTTTTTTTTTATATATATATATCAGTTGGCCAATTAATTTCTTTCTGTTTATAGTAGAGACGGGGTCTCGCTCTTGCTCAGGCTGGTTTTGAACTCCTGACCTTGAGCAATCCGCCCGCCTCGGCCTCCCAAGAGCTAGGATTACAGGCGTGAGCCACAGCGCCCGGCCAGTAATTTATTTTTATTGACAAATGGTATTCCATTGTATGATTGTACCACAACTCATTTATTCTTTCTCCCTTTGATATGCATTTAAGCTTTTTCCAGTTTGGGGTCATTCTGAATACAGCTGCTATGAATATTCTTGCGTATGTCTTATTGTAAACATATTTTTAAAATTTCTCTTGAATTAGCTTTTTAATTTCTCTTGCCTAGGAGTGGAATTGCTGGGTCATAAGTTTGACATATGCTTAGGCTTAGCAGATAGAGCCAAATGGTTTTCAAAGTGGTTGTATCAATGAACATAGCAGTGTATGAGAGTTCCACTCACCCTACGTCTTCACCCATGTTTGGTGGTGTCAGTCTTTTTCATTTCAGCCATTCTAGTGGTGTATTGTGATATCTTATTTTGGTCTTGATTTGCATTTGCCTGGTGAAATGCATTTACTGGTGGTGAATGAGGTTGAGCATCCTTCATAGCTTGTTGAAAATTGGGTATCTTCCTTTTTGATGTGCCTGTTGATGTCTTTTGGCCATGCTTAGTTGAGTTGTTTATCCTTTCCTGTTTGATTTGTAGGAACTCTATATATTTTGGTTATGAATTTTTTGTTGGATGCACATATGGGTAGATATCTTTTCTCACTTTGTGGATTGCTTTTGTACTCTCTTAATGGTGTCTTTTGGTGAACAGATATTTTAAATTTCAATGAAATCCAATTTATCAATTGTTTCCTCTGTAGTGTTTTGTTTAAGAAATATTTGCTGAGAGATTAATCAAGATGGTGGACAAGAAACACCACCAGACAGAGTGTCTCTGCTGAAAAGACAGATTCTAGGAGAAATCAGAAGAAAGAAGCAAGCAGATGAGCATACATCGGACGAGGGTCGGTAGGAGGGTACCTGAGACCACGGGAGACTCCACGGGAGGAGGTTGTGGAGGAGAACTGGAAGCAGAGACCTCCCGAGTAGCCGGGAGAGCAGCGGCAAGGGTAGGTAAAGTAGTTAACTTTTCCCTCCCTTGCATCTTGGACTGCTGGTGGGCTCCCCAGTGGTTGGCCTGCAGACACCAGCCCAGAGCCGGCCACCGCCAGTGAGCGGTGAGCCTGTAGCGGATGTGGCACCAGGCTCCCAACTCCCACGGGGCACCTCCCTTTGCACAGACGCGAGCCGCGGGGCAGGAGCCATATTGCCTCATTCTCCCCTCCCCCGACCCTATCGGAGGCTGCCGAGAGGGACAATATAGCCACCAGCCGGAGGCACCTCCAGGGAACGGGACCTTCCCTTTTGGAGCCCTACAACTGACTGAGGGGAACCTCTAGACAGTTGTACTCCCTACCCCTAGCCTCCCAGGTGCTGCTGGCACGGTGATCCCAGAGATGGGGCAGTGACGCTGAAGGGCTGGAGAGACATCAACCCCAGCTTGGGCTACCCACAAGGTGAACTTGGGATCGGCACCTCCTCTCCCTGGTGGGTTAGGGATTGGTGCTCGGGGCCGGAGTCAGACTGCAGACAGATCCCGTGCACCAGGGTCTCCACATTGCACAAGGCACAAGGGATAATCAGTGAACAGCCTTTCTGGGTTGAAGTGCCTTCAGGGCAGATCAGGTGCCCTAGTAGGAAACCTCTCCCAAAGGGAGGCCGTGTGCCCAGCAGGTGGCGTTCCTTAATTGGTGCAGGAACCTCCCACCGGCATCACAGCCAGGGAGGAGCTCCGTGGCTGTGAATGTTTCTGCCTGTGCAAGGCCCCAGGAGTAAGCGTATTGGGAGGGTGAGAACGAGGCCATGCATCAGCCTTTACACCAAGAGGGTCTGAACCCACCACTGACTAGCTTCTGACATGAGCGGGGCATTCGCCCTCTGACATTTGCTTTTCTGGAAGCAAGACAGAACTTTGTACCCCCTGCCACAGCTAATGGCTGTGCTGAGGGCAGGCTTACCCACTGCAGTCTCCGCCCAGTACCTCTCGCTAGCATCCAAAGTCCTCACTGAGGGATAGAAAGGCAACTGTGAAGTCCAGGGCCCCACCCTCACACCTGAGCACTCAGCAGTGCCTCTCCAAGACAGAGAACTGACACAAGATACCCAAAACAACAGTGTATGCCTGATTCCTCTGAGCAAGCGCCACCTCTGACAGGTGAGACATTTCGCACACCCTTTCACAGCACCTACTGACCTCATCATAACGGGAGTGGCTCGAATCCACCACAGACTCCACCTACTGGCTCAGAAACTAAAACACGCAGTGAATACCCATCGAAACTAAAGAAGAAACAAAACCTGATTTGACCTGGGAAGAAATCTAGCGAAGACTCGAATTATGACGAATAAAGACACACACCCGCCAGAGGACACAGTTGAACAGACACCAACCCAAAATCAGGCAACTAAAATGCAGAAGATGAATTATCGAATGGATCATCAGAATTTAAAGGGTACTGCACGAACAATCATAACAACACAAAAACCACAAAAAGCCTCCAGGATCTGGCAAAAGTTCACTAATGAATTGAAACAATGAAGAAAAGTTAACCCAACTCCTAGAAATGAAGATCAATTCCGGAAACTACAAAACTACGTGGCAGCCAGACAGGGCAGATCAAACCAGAAGAGAAGACTTCAGAGATTGAGTAATAATTTAATATAATCCGTCAA